TCCCAACATGGAGGTCGTGTGGGGCAGAGTGCTGCAGGATTGAATGGTCAGACAGTCTAAATGCAACAGCAGCAGTCAGGTAAATAGATGGGGGTGGGGGTGGGAAGGGGGGGTTAATTAAATGTCACGACAAAAACACTGGTATAAATGTACAAGTTCCTCTTTCCTTCCCTGATGATTCCCTGATAGAGAAGTTTTTCATCGCGGCCTCCTGAGGGCAGCGGAGCCTTCTCTTTGACCACCCATCTTGTTAATGGAATCCTATTAGTGGCCTTCATTCAGAAGAGTCACTGGGGAAACGAGCTGTTCCATCCAAACCCAGAACCATCTTCTGTGCTGCCACAGTGATGCAGGGAAACAGTGCAGTGGCACTGGCTCCCCACCAGGACACTGTTTGGCTGGGTGTATGTATAAACCGTGGTGGTAAATGCTATTTCTGTCACTGAGTCCCAGTAATGACCATTATCACTTTGAATCCTGCAGTATTTTGTTCCCACTGCAGCACAAGCGACCATTTCCTGTCGCTGATAACCATCAGAGCTTCTTCAGACCTGCTGTCAGTTTCTCTGCTTCCTGCCATACTGCTCTGATGAGATATTGTCCATACCTTATATCCTGTAGGCAAGCAATTAAGCTAACACCATCCCCCAGTGGGCACGGATTTGAGCAGAGCCACGGTTCCTTCATCTGACTCTCTCTCGACTCCTCGTGCCTCCGAGCGCAGCCATTTTGGGAAAACATATTTTTTTGCATAATGGATGATTGAAAACTGAACCAAATTTGAATTTTAAAATAATCACACATTCAGAGTGAGTTCCAAGGACTTTTACAGGTAACATGCGTGTGTAGCATCTATGTGACAGTGTGCTATAATAGACTACGATGTCATCATGCACATAGCTACCAGAAACAGAGGTCAAAATTTAATTACCCCCTACCCCCACCCCCACCCCATCCTCCATCATTCCCCGCCTTCTCCAAAGATTAGTTTTGTTGTGTTCTGGCTTTGCTCAGCTTTCTAATATTTTATTTTATGTTTGTGACCAAAGGGGGGCGCTCACGCTGATCTCCTGAACTGAGCAGATCATTCAGCTCATCATTAGGGAGCGCAGCACGGAGGCAGACAGAGGATGTTTTGACGCTCAGTCTCTGTTTGTCTCCCCCACTGTGACTGTGAGGAGATGGTTTTCTAATGACTCCTGTCCCTCAGTCAAAGCAACATATAACAAGCGTAGCTCAGTTAGCTCAGTTAGCTCAGTGGTTCTCAATTATTTTCTGTCATGCCCCCCTATGGGAACAGAAACATTTTCACCCACCCCCCTCCCTCTGACCCACACCTTGTGAATTGAAATACTATTGAGAACCTGATAACATGTATATTTGTATCTGTACAAACCACTGTATGAGCTGCTGCCACCTAGTGGCTGGGGGGGTGTTATTATTCAACCATTACAGCAGTGGTACACTTGTGTCCAGCGTGCCATATTTCATTGGAAGCCCCCTCATGGCCCCCGAGGGGGGCCCGCCCCACTATTTGAGAAGTACTGAGTTAGTGTGTGAATATGAGAGAGAATGGAATGAATAACACGTTCATCTTTCTCCTGTCACTCTGATGTAGGAACCTTCTACAACAGCAGCACAGTAATTCATCCAAACAATAAGTGTAACAGGATTTACGACGCCTTCATAAAAACTGCTGATAAGGACACGAGGTGTTGACATCATCTGACCACACATGAAACAGGTCAAGGTAAAACCTGCACCTGGTTTGTCTCATCATTACAAACCTGAAGTATTTACTATCAGTACCAAGACAACAGTGACCCAGTGGAACTGTTTCTGTTGTGTTGTTTCTTCCTCATCGCTGAGGGACTAACAAGGAGCTGTTAGAGAAACAAACCAGACAAGTGAGAGAGCAGTTTTGCATAAAAAACACCTTCGGAGCTGTTGGGCTGTTTGCAAGCGGGAGTCAGGATGTCGACTGGGTGGGATTCGTGCTCAGGATGTCAGAAATGGAGCCGTGGCTGCCAAATATAGTCGCTTTTCACAACAGGCATGAGGGGAGACTTTGGAAGGCAGGGATGTGAGAACGCAGACGGGAGCTCAGACGACAAAGTGAGAGAAGTGAGAGAAGAACGCGGTGTTTGTTCTAAACAGCTGTTTCAAAAAGCCGATGTTACAGAACATTTGGAAATTGGAAATATCTCTGACTGTACATTACAACCTCGAACCGACTCACACCTCTATTGGCCGGTTATCTCCAGCCGCTCGTCTCCGCGCCTTTTGTAAATGACCATCCATGATCCATTCATTACCGGGTCACGGGGGCAGCAGTCTCCATAACCGCCATCCAAATCACACCGCACCGCACCAGCCCCTCGTACACCTTCCTGCCCTAACCGGGATTTGATCTTGTTTGAGGTTGTTTTGTTCAAGTTAATGAGTGAAATGATGAAGTTTCTCACGAAGGAGAAACCTGAAAATCCACTACTCCAACAGGTGAACACTTACAAAGTTTACCTTTCTAGTACTACACCATATATTGATATTAAGCTATCTGTTTATATGCTTGGCATCACTTCCTACACTAACCAAGAGGCACTATATGAGGAGGGTTATTAAAAAAAAAAGACTCTTTCACTGAGTGCACGCAGACAGATGGATGATGCAATTAGTACCACAAAGCTCTTTCATTGATTTCCTTTTGATCCGTCGGATGAACAGCGACTGAAACCTGCCTTCAGTCAGCTGGAGGTTGCAGGAGATGATTGAGGTTTAGGCAGGAGGAGGAAGGAAGTGCTTTCATCTTTTCAGCAGTGATTGCTGTGGTGAGCGGTGACTAATTGCACCGTATTTTAACAGCCCGTAAAGCTCTGTGGCTCCGTTGTCGGTAGAAGACCAGGGTATCTGAGATATTAGCGACTTAGTAAACGGTTGTGGATGGTCGTTTACAAGGTCCAACGGCTGCAGCTGTGGTCATGTGCCTTACGTTAAAACCTCTATTGTTAACACAATCTTCGGGGCCTCGTGGTGGAATTACGCCAAATAAAACGGCAACACCAGAGTCCAGTACCCAATTCCAGAACAGATCTGGGAGGAGAAAACTACTGAAGGTACAGTAATCATGGTCAGAGTGGGGTAAGAGGGCACTGCTGTGGAGTCAGGTCAACACCTTTATATACAGTATACACTGTATTTATATATATATATATACAGTATATACTGTTTATTCTTCTCTTTACCAGTGGCTGAGTTAAATGGTGCTGCCTGGTTGAGGACCAGATCATGTTGCGCAGCATTGATTTTATACTGTGGGCATTTCCAGAGACAAAGTATTAACAAATGTGCTCTTTAGAGTAGGGGCAGACAACGAGACTCTGTGTAGACCAAGTCTTCCTGGTTTTCTCTCTAACATACTGACGGAGTTTAGTTATACACTAATGAACAATGTTTAATTCAATCCACCCAGCAAACGATACATAAATACATACACGTCAGAAGTATAAATATTAGCAACAACAACAAAAAAAAAAACCAGAAGAAAAAGAGTATGTAACAATGTTAGGTAATTTGAAAGTTCTTAAAAACATCTAAACAATTAATGACAAGATCCAAATTGTTCCTAACTGTAACTAAGAAGTCAAAATATGATTGAAAATATTCAGACTTCGTCCCGATCATTGACATTATTCCATCAGTTGTCTTCACTGACAGAACCATGTGCACATGTCCTGATATGTATTGTATGAACCCACCTGTGTGGACACCGGGGTCTCCTGAGGTGAGGAGGAAGCAGGTGCCCTCCTTCTTGCTCTTGTCTCTGCCTCTGGTGACTCTGAGAGACCACTTCTCACTGGGGGAGAGAGGCTGGGTCAGGCTGCAGCCTTCCTCCTCTGAAAGGGCTACATTTGCATCTCCGTTTTGTTTGGAATCTGACAAGAGAACAAAAAGAGACAACAACATAAATGCCAAAGCATTTATTACCAAGTCACTCCCCTGGCGGAGGGGGGGGCAGAGGTTCACTGCATGAACCTGGCACTTTTTCTGCGATGAAATTTAATTTGACCGAGCTCTGAGGAGAAGTCGGTTTGTTTCATTTTACAGCAACGTTTATGACACGTCTACCAAAAAAAACAGAGGAAATGCAGTTCCTAATAACACACCACTGAAATCATATTAGACACAGGAAGTCGCAAAAATGAGCGACAGATTTTTTTCAATAATTATGTTAAATAATTTCCTGTTAAAAAGACATTTTCACTAATAACAGAAAGAGTAAATAAATATATTTGCACAACTGACAGCACAGACATGTAGCTTCAGAAAAAATGTCTAAAGCTACATGCTTCCTTTAAACTTACAATAATAGTTGGACTGAAGCATTTTTAAATTATAAAAAGAGAATTTAATTGAATACAAAATGTATTCACCCATTATCTGATATGGGTAAATATTGCTGCAGACGTCCATGGTCAGTTCAGAACACACTACAAGCAGCTGTCAGTAAACTTTAGGTGTTTAAGCGTAATTTAGTTTCACATGAATATGTATGAGGTCATTTTTCTGGAGAAGACTTTTTCACTAGAGGTTTTAATAAAATTTGTCACCAGAAGGTTCAGGGTTTGATTCCACCTCCTAAACCCAAGTTGGGTTGCATCAGGAAAGGTATCCAGTGGAAGAATTTTTTTTAAAGTGAGGGAAGTCATAGGTCAAAAGGTGACTCATTACAGATTTAGAACACCACTGTTCTGTTATTTCAAGGGCCTGAAAACCCCTAAAGACCTCTGCATGAACTGAGGGCTTCATTGAACCTACAAAGTCTCTGCAAACTGCATAAAGTATAGAAGAAGGAAAAACGCTCTTCGATTGTCTCTCCACCAGGGGTCAGTACAGCAGGGGTCAGCATAGTGGTTTCGGAAAGGTTTTTACACTGGATGACCTTCCTGGTGCAACCAAACCTAGGTGATGGGGACTAGGTGATGTTGAACCTGGAGCCTTCTGGTGGCAAGTGGGAGAACTACCACTTCACTCCACTCTAACTCCTCCATTAAAAAATGTATAGAAAGAAGAAAATGTAAGCATACTCGCTCTTTGGTCTTTGGTCTGACCTGAACGTTTTCTGCTGGTATTCTCCTCAGACGCCAGTGGACACGTGTCACTCTGCGTGCTGTCTCTGTGCGAGTTTGTTTCTGACTTTCCGAATGAAATTGAATCAGTCGGAGCGTCAGGATTTGGGTTGTGCTTCTTCTTCTTCTTGGGCAGTTTCTGTCTGGCCATAGCCAGGGAGTAGTACATCCCAAAATTATTGACGATGACGGGCACTGGCATGGCGATGGTCAGAACTCCAGCCAGTGCACACAGCGCCCCCACCATCATGCCCAGCCACGTCTTGGGGTACATGTCTCCGTAGCCCAGCGTGGTCATGGTGACCACTGCCCACCAGAAGCTGATGGGAATGTTCTTAAAGTGTGTGTGGTTGGAGCCGGTGGGGTCGTCGGGCATGGCACCGATACGCTCAGCGTAGTAAATCATGGTGGCGAAGATGAGCACGCCCAGAGCCAAGAAGATGACGAGCAGGAGGAATTCATTGACGCTGGCCCTCAGCGTGTGGCCCAGCACTCGCATGCCCACAAAGTGCCGCGTGAGTTTGAAGATCCGGAGGATCCTAACGAAGCGCACCACTCGAAGGAAGCCCAGCACGTCGCTGGCGGCTTTAGATGAGAGACTACTCAGACCCACCTCCAGGTAGAAGGGCAGGATGGCCACAAAGTCAATGATGTTCAGGGAGTTTCTGATGAAGACCACCTTGTCGGGGCAGCAGACGATGCGTGCCAAGAACTCGAGCGTGAACCAGACCACGCAGACACCTTCTACCAGGACGAGGACAGGCTTGGTCACCATCTCCCATCGCTGCACTTCTTGTGTGACGTTGCCCACGACGACCAGCTCCGTGCGGTTCTGCAGCACGTTGAAGGCCTGATGGGTCTCCAGGCAGAAGGTGGTGATGGAGACGAGGATGAAGAAGAGAGAGGCAAAAGCAACGCCCTGGATGAGACACGGGAGGAAACAGAGTTAGTTTAAAATAGAGCAGTTTCTCCAGCAGACTGACTGAAAGTTTACTTCACACTTTACTTTATAAATCCTGTTATTAAAGTTTTAAGGGAAATCAGGTGTTTGTAAGGCACTCTGCCCTCAGTCCTCATTATTTCTGACCCTGGTGTGCAGCAGAGCGTGAGAGCAGAATGAAACGAGAGAAGGAGCGAGCGAGTAGTGTGGAGCGCTGTTTGTACAGAGGCTGATGCCAGACTTTTTGTAAAAAAAAAAACCCAAAACAACAAAGTAAACATGAGGCGCAGTGTTTCTTCTACCAGAGATTTTAAACTCGGTTTTTTGAGCTGCAACACAGGAAACGGACAGTTATAATGAGCAGACACACAGCAGTGCATTGGGGGAAATTTTTTTCTTTGTTAAATCACTTTACACAATAAGGATCCTTTGTCACGTGGTAAACAGATATAGATTAGATGCATGACTCCATGCATTACATTTCTTTACATCACTGATGCATTTTAGCTAGGGATGTCCGATAACATTGGTCGACCGATGTTGTCAGCCTGATAGTAGCATATTATCTAATATCTGTAAGAATCGTTATCAGATATCGGAATCGGAAATTAAGTTTTGGGACAATATCAGATCTCGGACATCCCTAATTTTAGCACCTAGACAGAATGATGTGCACTGTATTTCCGATAGTTAAACCACGTCCATCCACCATCTACACACAGTGTATTCTGCCAATCTGCCAACAGTGTTTGGCATGAGGGCCAGAATCTGATGACTGGAGGATGAAAGGACGACAGACACAGAGGCCAAACCCTGGACAATGGACAGTCCCCTGAAACACTGGTGGGCTATTTACCTGCACTGTTATCTGCTTCAGCAGAAACCATTTCTTCCTGTGGCCAGTGTCAATACAAACCCATAAACTTGGCATTTGGACAGTTGACATTTATGTGATGTGTAATGAAGGACGTGGCAACATGGCTGTTTATTTATATATTTTTTTATTTTTGTTTTGTTTATAAAAGCTTAGCCAAAACGTCATGTTGCTCTGACTTTTCTTATCGTTCAGCTGTATAAACCAGTACCTGTGCCTTGCTTGGTTCTTAGCAAATTTCTGCCTCTGGGGCAGAACATGAGTCAGCTTTATGGGCCTGGAGTCTGGGGCTGTTACACATAAACAAACACATAAATAAAGGACACAATGTCCAAATGCAGAGAGTCTGAGACACCAGGACAAGTGCAGTAAACAATGACTAGACCATTTGAGGCTTAATACTAGGATGAAGAGTAAGAAACGTACCGGCAGCCTTTCTGGATACTGTGTATTAACAATATTAAATGTACATTAAACATATCTGTATAAAAAGCAGCCACCTGCTGTGGGCAGCACTTGGTTAATACGTCCAAGGAGCAGGGAGATCTTGGTGCTTGCATACCACACAACAGCCCTGCAGGGGGCAAGCTTTGAACCAGCAACTTTCATTGTTTACCTACCAGGTCGCAGGCCACCTTTTGTTCAACTTTGTATCAATTCTATATGTGATTTCGTCTAACATTTAGCTATATTTATTATTATTCATATTTAATTATTTATTTTATTTATTTATTTAGCTGCATCTGTCATTCAATGCACAGTATGCCAAAATGTCATCAAAATGATTACAAAAAAAACCCCTCAGATTTTCGAACAAATATATGACTATGAATAATCTACTTATATCTGTCATCAAAATGATTACCAAAAAAAACTCAGATTTTCAAAAAAATATATGACTATGAATAATCTACTTATACATCGAATTCACATATTAAACGATAGCTCCCCTACAGGCAGGAAGCAAATTAAAAAACTGTGATATTTTGCTCAATTGCTGCTATAACAATAACAATTATTATTATTTAATTTCTCTATTAGTTGATGAACCTTCAGCCATATTGTGCCTTAGAGAGAGCTCTTCTCTGACTCATCTATAATATTAGCATATATTTTCTGTCTGACTCACTCAGATTTTGTTTTACCTGAATAACAAACCTAACACACGTTTGTTTCTTCCCTGTGTAATAAACCAGCACTTATTTGTTAATGTGTGCTATCAAAGCCTGGGCAGACGTGTTTATTTACTTTACTGCTGTCAAAATCTGAAAATGTAAACGTTTCTTTTACGTTATTCAATGACTTTGCCACCAGACAAAGACACGCTAGCTCTGTTTTGCACACAGATCACGTGCAGCTGTGCCGTGACAACCCTCTCCAGATCGGTCCCTGCAGAGCTGCGAGGAGTTCACAGTACCGATCCCTGGAGAAGGTGCAGACTGAACCCCGAGGCGAGTGAAAGGCCTGTGGGGGACAGGCCTGCACGGGGCCCCAAGAGGAGCTGGGAGTTCCCTGTCGCATGGACACGCTTTAACTGAGTCAACGGAGCATTAAATCCACCGTGTTGAAATATCTTACAGGAGTGAATCACGAGGAGCAGCACAGAACAAAGACACACAAGAAAGCACATTTAAAAATGGACCTGCTGTATAGGTATTTAAAAAAAACAAAACAAGAGATTTTAAATTTAAGACGATCTCATTGGGACATTACATCATCTATGAGATCATTAAGACAATCCTGGGGATTCAGCCCTTCAACTCCCACTGGAAATGGCTGCTCCTCTGTGGAATATTAAATAATGTATAAAGAATTAGGTTTGATATAAACACATGAGGCTGGTCTGTTGTAGAGGGAGAGATGAAATAAACAAGGTTTCTAATATATATATATTTAACCATTAACCAGTGATTTTGCTGTTTTTTATATTTAAATAATATATAATTATTTTTAATGCATCATTGCTCGATGCCGTCTTATTAAAAACACATTTAACTTTCCATACGTGATCACGTGTGCTGCTGGCTCTGCGGGGGACAGTGTCGACACAGATGGACCACCTCTGTGACACAGCAGTGTCACCAGTCTCTTCTCTCCATCTGCCAGCAAAAAGCAATTTCCAGTTGGTGGAATGTGTGGGTGTTTGTGAAAGCAGCAGGTCCCAGCACCTTTGAATGCACCGTTAATTTTCCTTATCGCGTCCTGAAAGAAAATGCTAAATGAAAGCTCATGCAGAAACACCCAGTGCTACCCAGGCGGTGCCCTTCACTCTCCTGGTGTCAAAAACCGTACATCTGAATGAGACCTGCTCCTGATTTTCTTACTCTGTTAATAATGGAGACAGTGTGGCTGCAAGCAGGAAAACAATTAGCAGCCTCAGCTGTAGTGTGGTATATTCTCTGCTGTCGGGCTTCGCTCATAATTTAAATGACTGGGATGTTTCGCCAGATGTTTCCGGCACAACTGCTATCATCAGTTAAAATGTGTTTTCATCATTTTAGTTTGTTGAATTTTTTAACCACCATTTAGCCAACATTGTAATTTTATTTTTGGCTGTCTTCAGGCTGAAGTGCTGAAGTAAGTTATTTAAACTTAAGTTTTGGAAAAATCCACATCCTTCTTTTTCTTTCAATAAAGATGCTAAGGTCTGCTAATATTAATTGCTAATTGGTTCGGCTAATTACATTATCCATACAATGATGTGTGTAAATCACCTCACAGTGATTTCAAACCAGCTGAAAACTGACCCACTCACCAACATCAAATATGAAAAACAGTAAATGGTGACCATAAAAGGGGGTTCAACCAGTGGCTCTCGTTTGGGGGGTTGGTACGGTGCAGTGTGATTTCGACCAGGGAGTGGGATGGTGCGTGAACGCTGGTGTGAGACAAAGAACAAAGCAGCAGCCACTTCAGATTCTAGTGGCTGTTGAAATGTAGTGTGATGAGCCACATGCATCAGCGACAGGCCTCTGTTTACTCTGATGACAGACGGTTTATTCCAGAACTAAACAACAGGACCTGGGCACCGAGACAGAGACAGAGGTCCTGGCACACACGAGAACTATTTGCTCTTTGCTTGTAAATGGCTCAATCCCAACATCCAACAATAACATCCAACAGTCCCAGCTCAGACTTTCACTGTCGGTACATTGTCATGTGTAACACTTGGCATCCTCGGTGCTTCATTGTTCATTTCTACTAAAGTGTTTGTCTCTGTGGCTGCTCGTGTATGAAGTCCTTCTCTGTAGCTTTGTCAGTTAAATGACCGAAGACCACAGTGGGAACCACAGTCTCATGTTTACAGCTCAGTAGTGGAAACTTCTACCACGCTGGTGTCGGAGTGATTACCGCAATGTCTCTCCACCGTCACAGAGAGCTGCTGATGGTGGAGCCCACACTGAAGGTAACGCTGTTTTGCGTTTTTGACCTAAAGACTGATAATTTAGTTAGTTAACTCTGAGGAAGTTTAAAAATCACCCCCCACTTATTTGTGTTATTTTAATTTTATAACATTTTTATATTATAACAGTTTTTATTTACTGCCAGCACCTTGAGAAAAAAATCAGACTCATTTGTTATTTATTTGTTGTTGCTCCACTGTGTTCGGCAAATAACACCGAAGAAAAATCAATATCTTAATTTAAAAGTGACTCGGTCGATAAAATTAAAAAAAATATAAGAAGCAAAATCTATAAATAAATAAATGAACGGCGACAGAGGTGCAGAGAAACGTATTAATCATCGTTGGATTTCTCAGCCTGGATTGATGTTTCACTGAAATATTGATACCAACAATGGTGTGAGTGAACAGGAGACAAAGATCGACTCCTGGGGGAACAGTCACCCAGCGTCGGCCGGTGGAGCAGGAGCAGAGTTGACAGGACAGAGGAGCAGCAGCCGGCTGAGCGTCGGCTGGTTCACCTCCAGCTGCTAACACAGACACTGCTCAGCCTCGCCTGGAGGTCGCACATTAATACAGACGTCAGATGAACTTAGCGCTAGGTTCACCGCTGAATAATACTGAACTCGACCAGGCCACCGTGCTGCCCCCACCTGGTGGTAGGAGGACCAGGAAAATTTCAGGTTCAAATAATCCTGCCTGCAGTAGACGGCAGCAGCCTGAGTAGACCGCCCCCTACGTTGGGAACCACTGGATTAATCAATAGTAACAGCACTTGGACTAACGTCCAAGCCGTGGTTCTAAAGCAGTCATAAACAGATTACATCACTGTGTTTCCTGAGCCACTGACAGTTTGTCCAGCTGTAGTCGGCCACAGTGCCAACGCGCATTAACACTGACACACACACGTGCACACTAACACTGGACAGCTGCAGCACTCCATTCCCTTCACACCTCTCCTAGCTCTCAGTGATACTTAAAAATAATGTCAATATAATAATAATATTATTGGATCAGTTGGGGCTTAAGAACCGGAGAGAGAAAGAAAGAGAGAGAGAGAGAGACTCTCTCTCTTTCTCTCCGACCCCACTCTACCCTCCTCACTCAATGTGTTCTCTTACATACATAACAAAAACATATATATATTTTTGTGTGTACCAGTGATCTCAGAAAAAAGAAAGAAAATACATTATTTCAGCAGGTGACTCTAAATGAATGTTTGTTTATTTTTAAATAAAAAAATCTGAAGCGCCTTTTAACCAGAGGGATTCACATTGACAGACTTTGACAGCACTTTCCTGCTGCGACTCAAATCCCTCCAGTCCTCATCCCTGACAGTTGAAGAGCGATATTTGCACTAATTTATTGGTTTCATTTTTGTTCTCCCTGCTACTCGTGTCCTCCAACTCCTTTGTGGTGCTGCAAAACGGTCTATTTTCAGTAAACTTCTAAGAACCAGGAACGATACACAGACAGTGTTTTTAAAAAAAAAAAAAAAAAACTGAACGCAGCAGTGCTGGTTTGATGATGTGTAAAAATTCCACATCATAGAAAGGCTCCGTGTTGTGGAAGCAGAGCTCAGAGGATAGAGGTTTCAGCTTTAATATGAAGCAGCAGCAATAATCAGTTTTATTGGGAGGCATTTTCAAATGTGTTCCTGTAAAAGTCCCAAAAATGTTTTTCACCCATTACTACAAACACAGCAGGTGCGTTTAAGTGTTGAGCACAACTGTATTGGTGTTTGCCTGAAAGAGTCTGAAACATTTAAGACCCATCACTGTTTACCTCACTAATTTACTCCTGTATATTCCTTAACACATTATTCAAGTAGAAAATGATAAATATATTCCATTTGTACAATATAAAACCTGTGCACGTTTACATGAGTCAGGCTGTCATCTTCTTACAACTTTACGACCTGCCGTCTCAATATCATTAAAGTCTTATCTGCGAAGATATAGCAGCTGGTTATGTTATTAGCTTTAGCTACGACATGATTATAAAAATTCTCCTCTGATAAATAATAAAATAAAAACTGCCAGATCAAACACCCCCCCCAGTAATACTGAAGGTAAACTTCATTTAATAGGATCGCATGTAAGACGAGATGAGCAGGTAATAATCCAAACCAGATTAGTTATCTGGACTTCATGCTCCAGATAAAAGTGAAATCCCCTGATGTCAAATCGATTTCTTCCTGTGTGGAGGACGACAGGCTTCTCTTTTCTGTGGGAAAGGCAGCATTAATTGCTCACCAGTGATAACAAGTTGCAGCCCATTACCACAGCAGTGATTAATTACAGGCAGCAGAGCTGCATTAATGAAAGATGGCACCGGGGAGGCCAGAACAGAGTTATCTGGTCAGTGCTTAATGTTCATGTCAAAGCTAATGGTCGCATTGGAGAAAAGTGAGAATCCTCATCAGGAGACGACTTGTTTGGAGTCGAAATCAAAGTCGGTGGATCAGTGGAGAGCAGCGTCACAGCTCAAACTTCAAACAGTACAGAACTCAGCACGTCAACCGTTTACTGCTACTAATTTGATTTAATTTGTCTTCAGTGTTTTACTGGTGATACAGCTGTTTGGTCAGTGACCAGTCTGTACCACAGTCTGTACCACAGTCAGTTGTAGCAGTTGTGAATGCTCCAAAATGTCAAGGAAAACTCAGTTTCATCTAATATGTGTCAAACATGTTTTGTTTATATTTGTTTTATTAACTAAAGTTTCACTAAAACTTCACGTCTAGTTCATTCACAACCTGTTTATCACAGACTGTCTGTTCTGATTCTGTCATTGTAGCAGCCGTGCGTATTAAACAATATTGAAGCTCATCCTCAACTAGCTTCTATGTGCGAGCATTTGGGAAGATTTTTAGTCAACTGGATAAGTGACGCAAAAAAACGTTTTATTACAGGAGAGCTGGGCTAGGATTCACTGGAACTTTTCCAGAGGTGGTTTTGATTTGCCTACTCCTTGTTCTAGTTTGTTGGTTAATTCTTACTATTCACTTTAATCAGTGGGCCAGGGGGGGGGGGGTCAGGGGGGTAGTCAGTTAGCCAGCCAACTTAACTTAAATACATACCCACACAGTATGACTCAGAAAGATAGAGAGAAGAAAATATGTCACAAAGGAAAAGACAAAAGGCAAATTGATCTAAAAAGATGTTTTGCAGCCCATCAACCACTGGTTTCTACTGAGGTTTCCTGTGTGGAGGATGTGGCTGTAGTGATGGAGGTATAACTCCTCTCCAGCTTTCAAGAATCACATTACCTGGCATGAGCAGAGCTAAAATGATCTCTGAAAACATAAAGAGCCATCAAGGTAACATGAGGCCCGCCGAAAGCTCACTGCACGCTTTCACAAAGAACACAGGACAAACATACGAGCAGAGCATGAATGGGCTGCACAGGAAATGGACAAAGAACATTAGCCCAAGGTCAACAGAGAGGAGGCTGCGCTCTCTCCAACCACACAGACCACACAACAATTCACATCCACTGTTGATGTTTTTCAGGGATCTTTCCAGATCTGAACCAAGCCTCTTCTTCTTTCTTTTTTTTCCTCAAATATTCAGTAGTCAGAGACAGAAGTGATTATGTTGCAGGCGCAGAGCAGGAGCGAGGCAGCTGTGACTCAGAGATGTCAGCTGCTCTACAGTGACAGCCTGCAAATGCCACCTGGGCAAGCAGCTAAAATAAACACTGTTTGTGGAGTGACTGGCATGCAATAAGAACATTATACATTCAGCAGAGTGAGAGCCTCTGAATAGACCATTCAACTGCATAAGCAGACAAACAGAGCTCAGAGAGGCTGACGCTCCTGCCCTGCTCTCTCCAAACTAAATGTATTTTACTTTCTGCCTGATGAAAGCCTCTGGCCATGAGCCTGGGAAGGTCTGCCACGCTGACGCTCAATAGCAGCTTTCACCTCCACTTTGCTTAGTACTGGGCTTTTGTTCCTGAGCCACCAGCTGCATTCATTCCAGTGCTCACATCAGGTCCATATCCAAGTGAAGGCTATAAGAGCTAATTGATTTGAATTTATGACCTTTTTTTTTGTCTTCAAAACAAAACAAAGTGAACACTGAACGTCGTTATCTCAAAGCCATTAAAGCATGATACATTCATTTCTCTTACTAAAACATACCAATAGAGGATGTTCACTCAATTATATTGACTTCGCCCTTTACTCTATTATACCTTTTTTCCAACAGTTTAGTTCAGGGCTTGAACAGTTTCGGAGCTGCACAGCATTTCTATCTGTTGTATATTTTTTACATATTCTGTATTTATATTTGGTTTCAATTAGGGATGTCCAATAAAATCGGCCGACCGATATTATCGGCCCAATATTAGCATATTATGTTATATATGTAAGAATCGTTATCAGTTTTTCCTCCGATAATGAAAACCTGATAACGCAATGCCTGGGTTTCGCCAAATGATGTGTGCTCTAAAGATTTTTTTTTTTTTTACAATTCAGCTCATTTGAACTGTATTCTTAGTTTAACATCAATTATTACTTATTTATTTAATCAATGAATCATATAATTATGTACTTATGTACTGTGTCACAGGATTGGGATTTTTTTTGCAAAAAAAAATTTATGATTAATAATAGGAATTAGGAATTAATTAATAGGAAGATTATTAAAGAAATCAATCTGGTTTAATTCTCGTAGTCTGTGGAATGACACCAGAGAACCGAGACAAAACACACTCACAGACGGGGAACAACTTGTAAACTGCACAATGGAAGGCCATCAGCTGAAATGTGGATCTGTGATCCTGTTGATGACAAACAGCAGATCTGACCACTGTGTCATCATGAAGACACTACAGCTACAGGATAGTCTGAGCTCGCTGTGCTTCATCGGTACCATCGTGTGCGTTTGTTTAAAATCTCCCTTTACTTGGCAGTGACGCGGTTCTGTTGTGTCTTTTCCATCAGAACTGTGAGAAGAACAGGTGCAAGAATATATATGTTAGAATATGATCAACAATATCAGGAGGTTTTTTAGATGTTGTTGTTGTTGTTGTTGTTGTTGCCACAGCACAGAGTTATTTCTCTCTGAAACCTGTTAACCTGAACTGTGGAGAAATGTTGTATGGCGGATGCCTTCATTGGTGATATTCAGGGACAGTTTGGTAATTCTAGATCCATTATAGAATTACATATCCTTTAAAATGACTGTCTGACACTGGTTAGCAAACACATAATGAAGAACAAAATAATCAGACACCAAACTGCAGCGGTCCAGACCAACAGCCTGTAGGACCCACAGGTCAGAGTGACAAAAACTGAATCGGGCGAAGGGGTTTGGAATCTGGACTGCTGATTGCGATTTATTTGTTTATGACCTAACAGTAATGAAGGGGTTTGGAATCTGGACTGCTAACGGCATCTACTGTATTAGGTTTGTGGTATTTTTTGATTGTGATTTATTTGTTTATGACCTAACAGTAAAATGCAAATATTGAGATATCAGGACATTCTCTCCGTCGATGCTGCATGCTGATTGGCTGACACCTGTTACTACCTGTTGATTGGGACATCTACACCTCTTTGCTTACATAAAGGAACTTTTTTAATGAAAAATAATACGATCCATTTTAAGCATGTGGACTCCAGCAGAACTTGACTCACCCGGGCTGCTCTGGAGGAGTACGGGTCATCAAACAAGGCCCATATCTTCGGTTGCCAAACTTCACAACAGCCTCTGGACCTATCTGGACAGTCCTCGATGCCGAACCGTCTCGCCATCTCTCGATCATCGTCGGTGTCGTCAGGTTCCGGCGGTTGAAATACATCCAGAGCCTCCTCGGCATCCCGGTGCTGCCTGTAGGTCATCCAGCAGCACGGCTCCACGTCGGTCTCGTCTATCCCCCAGAAAGCCAGCTCCTCCTCGAAGAGTGGCCCGCAGACGTCTGCCGGGCAATGCAGTTTCCCGGTCCGGTAGTAGTTGAGCACGTAGGCGAAGATGCCCGGGTGTCTGTCAAAGAAGAACTCGGTGACACTCGGGGGCGCAGCGTCCACGTCCGAGCCACTGAGCGGCGGGGGCGGGGCGGCGGGAGGCGCGTCCCCGGCAGGGTTCTGAGGGTGCTCTTGTAGGTTTCGTGTCGAGTGCCGCCCACGTTGATGATAATTTTGTCCGAGTCTTCCCCCCTGGTCATCTCCTCCTTCAGACATGATTTAGACGGAGGTTTGTTGCCTGATTTGCGCCCTCTGTAAGAGGAGACACACACCGAGCTTATCATTGGGAGGCTGGGCTCTTCTGGCGGTTCGCCCCTCCGTTTCAGAACTGGTGTTCACTCAGAGATCAGAAAATCAGGGCAAAGTGGGCCCTCATTTCAGACCCTGCTCTTTATAACGGTCTCTGTGGCTCATGTATCCACGGAATCGAGCAGCAGTGGTCCAGACAGCGCCACAGTCAGACGCTCAATACAAAACCACCTGTTACCAAACTCAGTCTGGTGCCGTGACAAACCACAGAGCGGTGCCTTTCAAATGTCGTCAAGTAAAATCACAGAACGTCTCCACAGCCTCAAACTCCAGATGTTTCCACGGTCTCCTGTCGGTGAGGACCAGAACGCTAATAAACTGCAGGTGCAGCTAATTAGCCAATTACGCACGGCGGCTGGGCCCCGTGACACCCGAGGACTCAGCCCTGAGCACCGTAAAATATCTCAACACACTGGGTACTGGTTTTATGCATGAAAAGAAAACACGCGACTACGGCGTACAACTTTTTTCTATTTCCTCCACACATAAAAAGGGCAGAAGGCTGAGAGACGAGCGTCTAATCACGCACTGAAAACGAGCTCTCCTCCGCTCCGTGCTGATCCACCACAGGCGCAGCTTTCGTGCCAGATGTGCGTTTGTTTTCCAGCTGGGGATCTGTTGCTTCTCCTCAGCAGCCTGTCTTCCCTTAGCGACACAGCCCAGTTGAATGGTGCGTTCAACAACAGCCTGGACAATTTAACTCTCTGGCTGCCGGAGACGCACGGCGCGTTATTGAAAAACCACTCCCTCTAATTAGATCGAGAGAGGATGGAGTGTGTGTGTATGTATGTGTGTGTGTGAGAGAGAGAGAGACAGAGAGAAACAGAAAGAGAGAGAGAGAGAAAGAGATACTGCTTGTGTAGCTACACTTTGCTTTTAGCTATTGTCATTTTGGGGACACTTGGTCCTTGTGGGGGGGGGGGGGGTCTAGGGGGATGAGAGGGTATTTTGAGGTTCAGTCTGGAGTTAGGTTCAGAATTTAGGTCACATTAAAGTTCTAAGATTTTACTTGATATTTATCTATGCTGCGGTACAGGTACCCATGACGAGTCTGTCATTAGAAGCAAGAATAGTCTCTAACGGTCGTTTACATTTTTTTTAAATCGTCCTAGGTCTATTATTATTATTATTATTATTATTATTATTATTATTATTATTATTATTATTATTATTATTATTATTATGATCCAACAGGTTGTTAACTAAACGTTCCATGTCACTCACAAGGTTTAACATTGCCATCTAGTGGATTACTTTGTGAATAACATATTTAAAGCAGCTCTTTCTAATGCTTGTTTCAAATGGAAATAAAGGGACCAGTAACAAAGTCAATACAGTAGCGCTGCTAACGTGGGCCCCGGGAAATGAGTGACCATCTGCAGGCACACAACATGAACTTGTATGATTTATAAGTTCTGCTCAATGTCAGAGAGAGTCGTAAATAACACACATTGAAGTCATGGACCACATAAAACATGTTCAAGGACCACAATGACCACGTTGTCTGGACTTGGCGATTGTTATGGAAGTTCAGCATTGGCGATAATAAAGCTACAAAAAATTATACTATGAAGTTATGGTATATTGGTGAGCAAAGAAATTATACATTATTTTAAAGTGAAAAGACTTTTAGGCCCCAGTTACAATCATTAATCAAAATGTAGAAGCCACTGGAGCTAATCAGTCTTTGGACGTTACATAAGTTTCTTGCTAGAATTCTGACGTTCGTCAGAAAAACTTTTACTGAGCAAAGACAACCCATTAGTTGGTATACCGTGATGTTGCACTCTACTAAATCTAGAGCCTTCTATGTAGCTAATGCTACATGTTAATTAATTGAGCTAGTACATATGAATCGTGGCTATAAACCAATAAACGTGTCATTTAACATCCCATGCAACAACGTTGTATTTAGACTATAACATATGAACATATTATTGAAATATTGTATAATTTGTCAATACATCAAGGAGTGGAGAACGTATTTAAATTACTAGTGCGAAAAAAAACAAAGGTTTATTCATTTTCTCCATTTTTATTTCCGATATTGTTGTTGCTCTAATAGCTGTAGACACGCCTGTACGAAGGCTTTACTGTTAATGTTTCGTTCCAACGTACGGCTTGAATTATACAGGATGACTGTTAACAGGAGTCAGCTGACTGGAGCTCGGAGCTAAAAATATCTTCAATCATTTGTCTTCAGCGCTGCTTATATAACAGTCATATCTTCCCGTTTCCTATTATGGACAGACACCAGGTGAGAAATCACCAACAAATACGAACATGTGTTTATTTAACGACTTACAACCTAGGGGCTGCAAAGACAAGGTTTTCAGCTGCAATGTGTTACTGTTGATAACACGGTCAGAGGTCTCTTCAAGGACTGTCTGCAGCAGAACGGCTCTATTATTCATGGCGGTGTAACCATCAGTAATTCTATGAAGTTCAATTCAAATCTGATATTTTCCTATGACCATGAAGTGAACGTGTCACTATGAGACTGAGATACTGGGAAAAAAAATACCCAGAAGCCCAAGTCCTGCTATTGGCTGATTGTATTTATGTTTTTATTTAATGTATCTTTATATTACATTTTTTTAATATATATTCTAATATTTTGGAGTTTTGTAGTATATACTGTTTTGTCAATTTATGTTACGTATTGTAATATTTTAATGTTTTATTTTGCTATGTTTTGATGTTTTGTTGTCATTTTGATATATATATTATGTTCTGTTTGATTCTGTCATGTTATGTTGAGCCACATCACTCTATGCTAACAAAGCAACACACCTCAAGAAATTTTTTTTTCCTTCCGTGTTAAAATGACTTGCTTTATTGCTGATTGAATGTAATGTTGAATACACAGAACGGACATCAGTCCACAGAGATCCCACTATAGATCAGACAGGACAGTTACATCAATGTGGTAAACATAAATGTCTAAATTCTTTTCTCCAACATTTACAGCAGCTTATACAGAAGTACACACAGTAACAGAAGCTGTGGGAGGAAGACACTAAAGAGTAGCATTATAGCAGGTCGATTTGAAAGTAATAATAATAATAATAAAAAGGAATGTTCATTAAATCACGGTCATCAGGACAATTCCATTGTGTACCATCCAATAGAAACGCAGCACTAATAGTCAATGGATGAAAAAGTGTGAAAAACTGTGTACCATCCAATAGAAACGCAGCACGATGAAGAAACTGCTGTATCGGTTCTCTGAGCTTCATGTGGTTGCCTTTTTAGGAGTTGATACACTCTCTTACTATCAACACACATCACAGTCTGTCATTTGGACTGGCTTTGTGTTTGTGTAGTTTAAAGGTGCTGGTAGTTCTACACCAACTCTGGAGTGTGGCACTGGGCCTGACCGTTTCACCGAGTAGAATTATCTCTAATAACAAAACAAATCTGTGTTGTATAATTTGATCAACACACATTATACTGCATCAGTCACCTTGGTTTGTTGTTGTTGTTGTTGGTCATTTGTCTCAATGTAACTGTCAGGGGCATGAATGCAAATCCAAATTGATAATTAATAATTAGTAACATTTAAAAAAAACCCATTTAATTATATTTTTATTTTCTTGGCCTAAACTCCCGTCCTCCACATGTTGGACCACAGTCCAGTTAAATTATACACAGACAGATTCTTAGTCTAATCCCAGCCTTTTTTGGCACAATGCATTAAAGAACAAAGTAACAACATTGTGATTTGGTTAAAGGAAAGAACAAGTTCTTTACATACACATCAGATCATGCAGCAGGCAGTACTTCTAAGTATGTGACAAAATATTAGTTAAATATTAGTTATATATTGTTATATGTTATATATTAAATTGTTTCTATAGGTTCTCACATACTGTATATTTTACATTTTGACTTTGGTGCTAATAATAAGTTACATTTGGAATATGTAAAATAATTCCTCCGTTTGGTAGTGACTGAGAAAATAAAATAGATTATCTCTGTTTACTCCAGGGCAACTACGATCTGAGCAGTGTTCCAGATGATGCTTTCATTAATACCTGTGGACGAAGCACACAGTTAATAACACATTAGCTTATCATAACAAAAAAAAACAAAACAAAAAAACACAAGTATAATAGATACCTGTAATAATTTGGTTTGAATGGTCCATTTTTATTGAGACCCATGTACTTGGCCTGTTCATCCGTCAGCTCCGTCAGGTGGGCATCAAAGTTGGGTAGGTGCAAACTGGCCACATATTCATCTGAAAGGAAGACGGAAGTCTGCACTTTTCATTTGTCCAAAAGTTACATTTTCTATATGAAAGTGGACTAAGTTCAAAATATGGATCTGGCCCACTTTTGCCTGCACTGTGACCATAGTGACCATAGAGTCAGGTCTTACCCATCTTCTTAGGCAGCAGATACACGTCCTGCTTGTATCGACCTTCTGGGGCATTAAATAACTCAATCAGAGCCAGAGCCTACAGATAACATGGCAGACGGAACAGACTTTATGGATCTGTGGGTGGTCAGTAAGCAACACCAGAGACAGACAGGAGGCAAAACTACTGACCTGAGTTGTTGCAGTGATGGACAACACAAAGGTAGGCACAGTGGAGCAGCTCAGATTTAACAGACGACCCTGAGAAAAAAACACACTCTATGGACTAAAGGTACCATTGACATTCAAGTGTCGAGAGCTGTGTCCTTGACTGATAAACGTTAGCTGAGGTAATAAACACTCAATTTCCCTCACTAGCATCATCACTTTCTGGTGGTTTTGGTACATCATTAAACTTCGATCTTTTCTGAGATTCCAATTGCATCCCTTGTCATTCAAAAAGTCAGAGAAATTAAAAATTCCCCTTGATTTTGTGTTGTGGTCATTTCAAAGCTGGACCAGTGGAGAACCACTGCTTTGGAAACACTACCTCTGCTAACAGGATGACTCTCTTTCCATCTGGCCAGATGATGTGGTCCACCTGAGAGCGGACCCTCTCCCAGGTCAGCTCAGGGCTGCGCAGACTCGCCTGCAGACACAAAGGACCATCAGTCCTACAATATTAATGTAACACAATGATGTTGATGCCACAGTCAACCCCAGAAGACAAAACTGCAGGCAAACACAGCTGATGACATTGTCAATGTCACCAGCTGTGGACGAAGTGGTGGTCCACTTCGTCCACAGCTGGTGACCTTTTTTTAACTGACACTGAGCTAAAATTCTGTGCCAACAACAAAACATTTCAAACTGTCCTTCAAAATATTCACAGATACACACATAACAATACACAAATACTCAGATATATTACCACGTCAATCTCAGTATTGGAGTGTCCCATGTTGCAAACAATGCAGCTGTTCTTCATTCGGTCGAGATGCTCTCTGGTGACAACGTTCTTGTTTCCTGTATTAAAACATTTAGCACACGTTAGAACTCGGCAGCACTCAGAGGCTCTGGAGACTTAGTTGTTCTGCATTGAATCGTCGTGACTATAGAAGCAGAAGTAATGGCTGCCACGGCACGGTGCAGAGTACCAGTGCACGTTATCACCACGTCCATCTGGCGGATGACCTCGCTCAGCTTCACCACTCTGAAACCATCCATGCTGTGGGGACACACATTAGTAAAAGGTCATCCCTTTGTTACAGCAGCAGATACAACACACAACAAACTGGCAGAATATAAAACAGTTGACTGAATAATGCTGGTGTTACCGAAGAACGTTAACAAAACAGTGGAATATCTCTGTGGTCATTCTCTACAGTGAGATGTTACCTGGATGTCCAGCTGCTTTAATTACTTGCTCTAATTAAATCATTTCAAAATTGGTTCATTTACTGTGTTTTATGAATAGAATTAAATGTGTGTGTAACTACATATGTATGTACTGTAAATAATTATAACTGACTTATACTATCTTATCGTAAATAAAAGACACTGGAAATGTTTTCCTTCTTCTTTTATAGTGAGGTCAATGTCTGGTTATATTAACCCACCAAGCCTGCAGGGCACAGATGGGGTCAATCTCAGTGATGCACACAATGGCTCCCAGGGCTTTGAGAGCCATGCAGCAGCCCTTTCCCACCTACAGAACATCCACGAGCAATAAATTAGCTGAAGACACAAAGTAGTCAATTCTGCTGCTGCTGCAGTAGCAGCACAATTCATTCATATCCCAAACATCTGAACATGTTTTATATGTAATATTTAATGGAATTCACCTCTCCATAACCACAGACGACAACTTGTTTGCCTCCAAACATTATGTCAGTCGTCCTCTTCAGCCTGGAAATTAAAGGCAAAAACAAACACCATGCAAAATAAAAAGTGACGCAGATCGAATTTCACGGTCCATTAACTCATCGACGGCATGAAGATGACATTCCATTTACACGAGCTAACTGAAAACATCCTCAATTCACGTGTTGAGCCTGCGGTTAACAAACATGTGGTCCACGGACAAGATGTAGAACGTAAGATGCCACCATTTGAGGGCCACAGTTTCACAGCATTTAACACTTTCATATTGTTACTTCATTATTTTAAACCTGTTTCGTATGGTGTCAAATTTTAAAAATGTTTAAAATGATTCATGTGACATATGAACCTCACCCATCCAGGATGGACTCCCTGCAGCAGTAGAGGTTGTCAAACTTCTGCTTGGTTACAGAGTCGTTGACGTTCATGGCAGGGACGCAGAGTTTTCCAGCCTTGGACAACTGGTACAACCTGAGAGGACACATGAGGAAACATCTTTACACACCACATGCTGTATGCACACACACTAACACACACACTGCCTGAGCAGTGATCCTGAGTAACCACCAGGTGTCTGGTTATAATTAATTCCACAGAGAGTTAAACACATACAGCTGTGATCTGGGCTCCAGTTCTGTCGTGTTTCTCCAACAGACTGTGACCTTTTCAGTCTATAGAGTCATGATGGTTATTAATACACATATGATTCATTCACCATTTCCTTTGATTTAGTCTGTAGTGGAAACAGTGTCTTCACTACAAACTGCTTACACCAGCATGTACTGGACCATGACACGAAACACAAACATAAGGAGACACTTCCAGCAATGGAACTCTGCAGTGTCATCAACAAATAAGGATGACGTAAAATGGCTTTAGTGGATAAAGATTGCGTAAAAGTGTAAACATTTTTCCCACAAAAAACATTTAACAGTTACTGAAATAAATACATTAAATTGCAATGACTAATTATTAATAATTTTAGTCTAAACAGTGACCCTCCAGTATATTTAAAATTTCAAATAAATAAAAAATACATATATCTATATTTCATACTCATTCATACACACTCATACATATATACTACGTATATTTCATACTCATTCATACACACTCTTTTTAATAATCTGACCTATGCACCCCAGTGACACTCTCCTCCACTATTCCCCTGATTTTCTTGAAGACGCTGGGATACTTCTTGTAGACCCAGTGGGTCAGGTCTCCTCCATCGTCCAGGACCTGCGGGAGACAAAAAAATATCCGTTAACAGCATAAGAAACAGGCTTTACAACACTATACTTGGTCTGGTACAGATGGAGGATGGAAGAGAGTAACAGAATGGAGATTCAGACTGGAGTATGCCAGTGTTGTCAGAGAGCTACCATGTTGGCCTGCCAGCCCTCAGTGTTGACACAACGATCGATGCACCACCAAAAGTCGTCCTCTGACTCACCCTTCCAGGCAAACACAGGGACTCCTGGAAAGGAGAAAACACACACACACACACAAATCAGGCACATCTGGCACAATGAAAATGTGCGCAAATCACCAGATGTTCTGACTCACGGTGTATTAAAGTACAGTGAAAAATGAAAGATAGATAGATAGATAGACAGGTAGATAGATAGATAAAACAAAATCATTGATGTAGTGTTGATGTTTCTATATGAAAGGGTTTTTAAAAGGTTCACTGGAGAAAGTAAACATTTAATAAATCATAAAAACCACACAATATAAGTCCTTGATTAGCAGCCTTTTAATATGGCCAATTTCTGTGAAGCTTCATTCGTTAATACATCTGTTCTGTAGACCTCATTTGGAATTGTATCCCAGTGCAGCCAAATTTCCCCTCAGATTGAGACAAATTAAACAAACTATGCATCTCTAGTTAGTGTCATGTCCACCGACCAATCGAGTTAAAGTTAAACATGATATTAATGCTGGTTGTTACCAGTTTCTGCAAGAGCAGCAGCCACTTCATTCTGAGTGGAGTAGATGTTACAGGCGGTCCAGCGACACTGAGCCCCCAGGGCCACCAGGGTTTCAATCAGGACCTAAAAAAAAAGAAGACGCAGAGAATAAAGTCACATGATCAGGCTCCAGTGATAAAAACAGGAGATGGAAATAAGAGAAGAAAATGAATTCGATGACTTACTGCTGTCTGAGCAGTGATGTGGGTACAGCCCACTATCTTTGCCCCAGCTAAAGGTTTCTCCCCCTGGGCTCTCTTCCTCAAAGAGATCAGGGCAGACATGTCTGAGAAGGAACAGATGTAAGCAGGAGGAAAAGGAAGTGAAAAGATCATGAAGGTCAGTGTTTGTTTTGGTAGGGACAGGAATGACAGGCCACTCTGGAAAATAATACAGGTTCCTTGTACAAGGCATTTGTGCAGTAAATGGTTGTGGAAACTCTAAGTGACTGAACAACGATGGTAGTAACAGCTGCTGTTTCAGGCCTGGACGTCACGCAACGGGCACTTTTCTCACTTGCCTGGGCAATGTAAACAGACAGGGGCAGAAATCAGGGAGAGGGGGCGCAAATAAAGCAAAGCATGTGAGAAAAATGAGGAGGCAATGAAACGGAGTCAATAATTTACTAGAGATGGATGTAGATGAAGTAAGAAATGTGTTCCTGTACCTAGTACTGTAGTGGACGTGTTATACTGTTGTGACTGTTTTACATACAGACAAGTAAAGGGCGTTGGTTACAACGGTATCAAAGTAGCAAAACAGATGCAAATCTGGGAACAAAGTCAGTACTGGCAGCACAAAGCTCACTCTTGTATCAATTGTTGCTGCAGTGTGTGCAAGTTGCATAGAAAAAAAGTGACTCTGGCTCCAGTGAAAAAACACGCAGTGATCAAAGTGACTGAATCATCAACCATTCCATTCCTCTTCTTTTTTCAACCATATCACAGACGCCCACACTGTGCCAGTGCAGTCGTACCTTGTTCTGCTATCTCTATTTCCCGACGGCCGAATTCTGCCTGTTTCACGTTCTTCACACAGAAGTCGCTGCTGCCGTGAGCGTTCACCTGGGTTTTGTCCCGGGGGGAGGTCTCATCGTCAGAGCTGTCAGTGTAGGAAGCAGCTGCGTAATGGACGACACAAAGGTCACAATGTGGATCAATTTGACTTTGATATATATATAATCTCATATACTGTGTGGAACACGTGGTATATCAAGTATGTGGTCCATACAGTATTTTTGTGGTAATTGCAAACTTTTTGAGTTGCATCACTGCGTCCTGTAGGGAGGTGGTGTGGCCTGAACAACAGTCTACAGTCTACTAGTTATAATCTGCTCCTATGTAATAAAACCATCTCAGTCTAAAGTAAAACTATTCTGAAGGCCACAGTACCTGAGCTGTAGCTGTCTGTGGAGGACTGCGAGATGGACCGAGACAGTGAGCGGCGGCCTGCCTTGGTGGGGTACTTGCTGAATTCCTGTTTGTCCTCTGTGTTTGCAAACTGGATCTAGAGGGGAGAAATGTATAATGAGACTTTATGTAAAGGCTAGCAAAGAAATAAATGAAATAAATGTCACACACAATAAATGTCAAAAGTCTGCTGCTGTAGTACATGGAAACAGTTCCTGGTCACACCAATACAATCTATAAAAAAAACAAGTCTGTTGCTGTAGTACATGGAAACAGTTCCTGGTATTCGTTTTTCAAAAGCTTTTGAAAAAGGCAAATTAGAAGTTCAGTTTTTATTATTTGCATATTTCCAAGATGGAGGCAAACTCAGTTCACACTTTTACACCCAGATATTTGAGTACTGGTTATAAAACTGTAAGCAGAGTTGTTTCATAATACCAGCCATGAACACTTGAAAAACCATTTACTGTAGCATTGCACAGCTGGTCATGAACCTGCTGACCCGGCTTGTTTTTTTATACTTTTATACTCAAAAGAGTTTTGTTGGGTTGGTGGTGGACAGTCTTTATTGGCAGCAGTGGATTACAGCATCAATACAACTCAATACAGCAGCAAAGAACAGAGTGTCAGCTGGTCACAGCTGATGCTCTGGACAAACTAAGACAAATCTTTATTAAACTACTGTCATTTATTTAGGTTAGCCTGTATGCTCATCTGTATGTGCACGGTCTGCATCAGCTACATCCTGTCTACCGTACAATGATGACACTGGTAATAGACCAAATGAAATTCTACAATCTTTATTTCCTACCATGGTTGCAATGATACCTCATGTACTGAGTGATCACAGCGAGGTGATGCCTGGTGGTGGTTTTAAACAATATGCCTCTGTAATGTTGCATTACTGCCCTCTTCTGGATCCCATGTCTATTTCGTCTCTTTGCATCCAACCCACTTTGACACTTTGTTTGTGTCTGAGCTCATTTTGATGTTTCTACAAAGGTACATGGCCTCAGACTGTTACAGTGTTTCACTGGTGAAAAAGGAAAAAAAAACAGTTCCTATTTTTAGCTCCTCCCCGTTGTTCTGTTCAACTACAGTACACAGGCTTCATCACATCAATGCAAGACTTCAAAGGGTTTAGGAATAAAGACAGGACAGAGTCGAGCTATTATGTGCACCACTTTGATGAAGAACAAAATAGAACACACATTAGAACAAGACACTTCTGTTTTCAACACATCCAACTTCATGAATTGTCAATGACTTCACTTTCTGCCTAACAACAAATGATATATTAATATTTTAATTTTTACATTTCAGTCATGATCTACCAACACTCCCTATCTAATTATTGTGCACCTAGATTTAGACAATGGTAACCTTTATTCATGTTATGAAAAAATATTTCAAGCTAACTAGTGTCAAACTTCTAGTGACCTTGAGTTTTTTATTCAAATATCTTTACACTGTTAGTGGCTACCCCTTTAGCTCCACTGTTATCTTGATTCATTTCAGCAAGTTTGGGGTTCCAGTAAATTTTCAAGAGAAGCCATGCACAGCTTGGATGTGTTTAACAGCAGTTTGTAGGGTCAAACACTGAAACATGTCATCACGACATCTCAGCCTCCTGTTAATGAAAGAATAATATTATAAACATAAACTCTTTGTCTTATTGAGCAAACCTCTATTATCACCAGCATGAAAACTCTAGGCTGGAACTGCCTCATAGAGTATACTGTATGACAGATGAAAGACTGATGTGATTTTTTTATTACTTTTTGTTTTCTTGGAGTTTTTTCTTTAACTGATCTACAAATTCTTTCACTGTGGATTTGTCTTCCCGCTCAAAAACTAATATCCTTTTCTGTCCTCTTTCATTATGACATTGCCAAGGGGATCCTTTTGTCTTATTTTACGTGTCCATATGATGTGTTTGAAGTAATAACTTGCATACAGGGCAGCAGAGTTGACACAACACACACAGGCCACAAATCCAGGAAACACAGGGATGCCAGACTAAATCAAAAGAATGAGTGGCTGTGATGTTAACTGCTGATATGTGAGTAAGTGACTGGAGTAGGTCATTATATAATTTTTAAGAGATGCAAAATTTCGGATTTTCTACGGACGGACATGTTATTGAAAGATCATGAACCTGGAACAAATAAAACGATCCTGACCATTTTTTTAAAATTTAAATTTAAATATAAGTCAAAGGCACTGCTGTGATTTTCAAAGATCTTCAGTAACATTAAGTGACATTCTTAAGCGTTTACATCACAAGCCTTTTTTCCTAAATTACAATGTTTATTTGAATCCCTCTCTACTGGCTTCGACACCTGGGCTCCAACAGTCTACTGTGTCAGTGAAAGGAAACTAAAGAAGCTTGAGAGACAGTGTGAATGGAGGAGATCTCTGCATGTGTCTGTTTTCACAATTTACAGCAATCTCCATCTCATTCACTTGCAAAATAGTACTTTTATGTTTACTTTGCATCAGTTCGGACGCTGCAGGATTCAGCAGAGTTGTGTGCAACCCTTTAAATGTCTGCACACTTCTGTGCGAAAACTAGAAAATACCTTTAAGGTAAGAAAACATTAGTCTGATTATTGAAGAATTTCTCAACATCATTTAAAATTACTTTTTTTTTTTGGTTTTGTAAATTAGATCATTCGACGTAAATAAATACTTTACATAGTAGCAGAAGAAACTCGTGGCTGTGTGTGGGATATGCAGTAGAATTCTTTGAAAAGTACTGAGCTGGATGAGTTCCTGGTGGAGCATTAGACAAGAGACGACTCACCCTTTCTCTCCCATGCCCATGTTTGTGTGCCATGGCTGCCTGGTCTCTTCAGTCTTTCCACCCTACTTCCCTGTACCCGTCCTCTCTGTGTGATGGTACTAGGTGTCCCTGATGCTATTATGCCAGAACACTCCCAGCCACAGCCAGGGGGAGGTTCCCACCTATGATCATGACTCCTAATGGCCAACCTGGAGAGAGAGATCCTCATTCACTCTCACTCACTCACTCGCTGTCCTTCTCCCACACTACCTCTCTCTCACTCTCTGATTCTGTTTTTTGACAAGTAACTGCTAAAGTACTGTGTATTTATTGGTACATTTATTTAAGTGCTTAGAAAGTAAATGTAGAAACAACTTCGCACCTAACTGTCAAATAAGATACCCAATACCAGAAATAGGTTCTGACAACCTACACACACAAACACACACATGCACACACATCAAAGAAAAGCACAAGTGTTGCAGCTCTGGATGCACCGGCTCAGCCTGGACTGTTAACAAAAACAAGAGTGACAGGTGGAATTAAACTCTGTTCCCATTAGCCTTCTGCTGCATCAATAAGCAGCCCATCCTGCTGCTAAAAATACCTCCTAGATAGCAGTCCAGGTCACTGAATTAGGCTGTGGTGTGTTGGTCAGCTGGCAGTGTAAAGAGCTCAACGTGGACCTGGCGACAGGACAGCACTAATTACTGAGTCAGACACAACAATTACCTCATTTCACCTTGTGTGTACTAATGACAGACAGCTGTGACAATAGACACGTCAATCGATGGCTTTTACTGTCATGTCTAGGTACAAATAAAGTGAAGTAACTACCAGTTTGTTAATAACCCATTTTGAAGAATCAAGATTTGTTATTTCACCTGAGTAATGTTTCAATATCAGTGCTGTATGTATAGTTTCCACCAAGTACGTAACACAGCGACAGCCCACCACTGCATCAGAGTCAGGCCAATGTATAATCATAGTCCACCTCTACCTCTAATCAATATTAAACTCTAGCCTGTTTAGCTGAACACAACCCTGGTATTCTCACAGATACTGAAAAAAGACACAAGATCTTCATCAACAGCCACAGCAGTTACTTGTCCTGCTCAGCACAGTAGCAGAGTGGCGCAGCGGAAGCGTGCTGGGCCCATAACCCAGAGGTCGATGGATCGAAACCATCCTCTGCTAATATTTCATCCTCCTCCTTGATTTTTTTTTCTTAATTTTATAAAGGGAACTCTTGAAGGGATTCATACTGCAAAGGTATTTCTGTCCATCTAACAAATTATTGTTAGATGCAGTAAATATATAATAGTTTTGAGACCAATTAGGTGACAATTTGCAAAGGTAGACACACTCTTACAAAGCTTGTGATTTAACCAATGCAGGTGTCCTCTGGTGCCAAACTGTTCCACCCTTCTTCCTGGTATTTTACTGGATTTTAAAATCTTGCTCAATGTCAATGTGTCACACAAGTTTAGCTGTAAGAACCTTTTTCACCCTCAGTTTGCAAAAGTCACCTTCTTAGATTACAATGTTGTGAAGGAAAACATACATGATGCTAATCAGGGATCTATCTTTTACTACTGTAGAAATAAGAAATTCTTCAAATGTCGGAGTTAGTGTTTGGTAAGAACTGGAGTAATGCAAAACTAATCCTAACACAGACAACATTTAGGTGTAAGACTGTGATATCTGCTGTATCAACAATACCAGTATTTTAAAGGTAAATGCTAACGAGGCTTAAATGTTGATAACAGACACTCAAGTTAAAACAGCCACAAGTGTTTTTGAATACCACAGGCATGACAGAAAACATGGGTAAAAATGATAAAACTAGTCTGTATGGGTGTGTTGTATTTCACAGTCTATAGTGAGTTCACCTCCATAGTTAATGTGGGTCACACCACACAGTACTTCAATTGTTTACAGCATATGGCAAACCTTCTAGTTTCATCAACATATTTAAGAACTGATGTTGTTTCTAAAGAAATGTTATATTTATACATAATGTACTTGTAGACCATAGTCAAATGTTTTTCTTATACAGTATTTTACACAGTACATGGTTCAGATATGTCCAAAATCTGTCCATCTTTGACTAATTGTCTTTTTCTGGGCAAATTTTCTCTAGTTATTTGTTATATTTTAGGTCTAAATCCTTTTCACATGAAAATGTGACACATTAAGCATACTCGTGACTGCCCCCTGGAGAAGGTGCACCATGTTAAAGAGACATCCAGGTTTATGACCAAAGGATGTTGAGGTGATGCTGTTATTAAGGTGCAACATGACCTTTAAACAAATGTGAACACAGTTTAGTCTCTCTGCGATCTGACTGAGGAACATAGGAGACGAGCATTGGGGTCAAATTATGAATTCTAAATTAAAATGTTTCTTGTACAAATATGTTCTTATATGTTCATAGGTCAAACTAATCCAGTATAAAACATTAGGTATAAAAGTGATCCCCCAGCTTCTAAAACAGGAAAATAAAAAGTGATGATGCATGAACGAATTCATGATGAGTGAGTCTCATTCCCAGGGGGGCGTATTGTGTAACTGCTGGATGGATTCAGAGGGAGAGGTGGTTTGAAGTTGTGTTCTTCAACTGAGCAGCCCACACACGCATTCAATATTTACTTTTCATTGTGCCATTGATTGCTGTAGCTCTCTACTGATTATGTGACACAAACATGCCTCTGAGACTGTGGCCGACAACCCTATTATTTTCATGTGGGATTATTTTAAAATCAGATTTCAAAATCACCTGCAGTATTTAGTTTAATTGATTTTTGTTACCAAATGCCAATCGGTGGCTTAGCTTGACCCCAGGTGCTCAGATTTATTCACAACATACAGCTTTGTTTTCATAACCACAGCTCACAGTCCTACCATTCAATCCCCTTTCAATCAGACCCCTGAGGCTGTGCAGTCCATGTAATATTGCTTTGGCAGACGGGGGGAAAGAGCTTATGTTCTCAGGACTGTGAGTCCTGCTGCTGGGAAAATAGTTGAACTTTTATAATCCTCTGCATTCTGTCTGGTTACAGTGGAGATAGTTTAGAGTTATTAAAAAACATCTTTTAAATTTGCCTCACTTAAATCACAATTTTAATGGATACATGTGTGATAAATCTCTGGAAATCAATACATTGGAAATGTGGTGTTAAAATTGACACAGTATACAACTATATGTAAAACTGTGACCACTAGTGTTCAACAAGGGTACTGAACACTAAAATAAAAAAAAATAAAAAAATAAGAAAATAATGACAGCTTTGTCCCCTCCGGTCCTTACAGTCCACTGCCAAGGCCTGGAGGATATTATGGAATCTATTTAGACAAATTAAGTGTTACATTTATTTACAAAAAACCCTGTTTGGTATCATTGTAATAATTAGCATATTAATTTTAACTTTTTTCAAATACACAGCACTGTATATTTACTTTTAATTCATCATCAAGCATTTGAAGAACTTGGCTTTATATAAATAAGTCTGAAAATAATGTAAGATCATTTATCATGTTATAGCTCAGTATGATTAGATTCAATACATATTAATGCAGCGAACCTCAACTAAACAAACATTAGACACTTCCTATAAACAAGCATGAACCTTTAATATAGTCAATAAAAAGTTTTCAAAATATCTCTTCTGGAACACTGACCTTTTTAAAGAACAGAATAGGCATTTCATTTCTGTGAGAATAACTGGCTGAATAACAGAATAACAGAAAGACTGGCTGTTCTATGTTTATCTCTCATCTCCAGCTGTTTCACAGTACCAGATTTGTAATAATCTGAGAATCCACCTCAAAAGGACTCTTTGAATGTTGCAAGAGTTCTTTGTTGTTGTGTAACCTCCAGGAAGTCTTTTCTCAAGTAGGTGCATCATATGTTGCCTGATTATAATTTTATTTATATGTTGTTCTAATTACTTATCATGATCAAGGGCACATAAATAAAACCTCAGGTTTGTTTGTTAGTGGACTATTTTAAATAGAATAATCTACTTCTCTACAGATATCTAAATACACAAGGTTAAAAACTCAACTCCATTGTCTGACCTGCTAACAGGATGTTGGTGTAAAGCAGGTTAGGAAATTAACATTTTTGTCAAGCACTTTTCTTGCAAAAGAGAAATGTGTGTATAAGGCATTCTTCGTCTTTCCAACAAAGAGAACATGAATAGTTTCCATGTACTGATATAATTCTACGTCATGCAGAGTCGCAGGGCTAAATTTAGTGGGAAGCAGAAGTCAAGAATGCTGACAGAAACAGTTATGTTCAAGTCTGCAGTGAGACACGCATACATAACAAAAGGCAAAAGAGTTCTGCATGCTTAAAACTAGCTCGGCCTTGTTTAAAATATATTTCACAAGCACACTCACAGCATATCACTCTGAAGGGCAATTTGAACTCATCTGTGGTTGTTTGACCCAAAGCCCTCATATATTTCAGACTGCCCTCAAAGTGAATGTAGTATAATTCTAATCCACAAAATGGACCAGGGATTAGGATCAAGTAGATTTAAACAATTGACTGGTTTTGATGGAGTACCTGAAAAAGTACATGGTGTAAAAAGAGTAGTACAAGCTATGATTAGACAAATACCAAAGTGGCAGAGACAACGGATGAAAGCTTATTTGAAATCCAACTCTGCAGATTATTTTTCAAAAACTGCACAGACTCCTGGTCACAGCACAGCCCACATGGAGATTAAAGTGAAACCACTGCGGCATCACATCGCACAACAATGTGCCAAAGCTCCCCTTCTACCCTCGCCCCTCCGCCTGCCGTGACACATTAATTCATGCTTAGTTATGAATATGTGACAGTGACAGTAGTGCTCCACTGCAGTACACTGCGTACCAACCTGGATTTATCTTCATCACATGTAACTGCTCAGAGTGAACAATCACTTTCTGGCACACACGCAAACTTGACTACTCTCTAAATTCTTCTTCTAGGGATTCGTTGCCCACTTTAATTTGTAAAACCTAACTAGACTTCAATATCCCTCATCTTTAGCCTGTCTCTAGCATGATTTTGTACACCTAAATGTGATTATAATTTACCAAACCGTATTCATGTTTTGTTGGAGACGACCTGACCTGATCTCTTGATAATAATAAATGACTAAATTAAAAAATAAATTGTATATAAATTAAATATACAAAATAGAACATATATTACAGTGACAATCACTTTGAATGGCAAGGTGATTCGTCATGTCTTTGAGCAAATGTTGCTCTGTACAATCTACAAGATCACCTTTTCAGCCCACTTTTAACCAGAGCCTCATTAAATAATTGATTAAAAAGTCGACTATGGGTTTTATCAAGAAAACAAAGATAAAATTATGGTATTTTCAAGCTGTGTCCCTGACACCTAAAAAAATGTAAAAAAAGACTTTATTGATGTCCAGAGGTAAATTCTTTAAATATGCACTTAACAAATTTGCCTTTCTAAATAAAGTGGAACACTACACTAGGGCCTCCAAAAGTTTTTGAATTGGCTGTTGTATTTTGTAAAGAAAATACACTATAAACTGTATGTTAATATAAAATAATTGCAGTAGATTGTAGATGTATATCTAAAAGTGAAAATTAAGAAAGGGGCAAGTGTACAGGATGTCCAATGAGGTGGCCAGCAATTTTCTAAGTATGCCCGCGACCACCTCTGGCCCTCCATTGTAGACGCCACCATTATAAATCACATGTTACGCTGGTCCATAACCAGGAGCTCAGAAATGAGTTTGCCCCAACATTTAAGTCTTCTATGAGAACTCCAAGTCCTGACAAGGTCAGAGTTTCTGCTGGTAAAGGCTCCCAAAAAGCAGGACGTATACATAGTCGCTTACGCGCGCTCTCTCGCACACATACGCGCGCACACACACACTGAGTGTCAGAGTGATGGCGAGCATCACTGTTCTTTACCTTCTTAACGGATTTGAGAGTGGGGACTGCGGTGAACGCTGCGGAGGGCATTTCCCCGACGTTCATGTTCACGTCGCTGCTGTTCTTGCTCACAGTCAACACCGAATATTTTTCCGCCACGTTTTCGGTTTCTTTGACATATTTTGTGGCCTGTTTAACCTCCGCCTTGCTGTCCACAACCGAATCGGTCATTGCACCAGTTTGTGGTGTCGATGCAGTTGAAGGACCCGGGAGTTCGGTTGAGCTCGTTCCGTCACCTTCGGGACTTAGATTCCGCAGTTCCGCTCAATCTTACCGTTTAAAGGAGAAAATTAAGAAGGTCGTGCACGAAGAGAGACAGGACGGCGGAGTATCCTCACTACTAAGTGAAACAGCCGGTGCTGTGCTTGTGCTGTCATCCACAGGCACTAACATCTCCGGGGGAGGAGGGGCGTTCGGCCAACGCTGTCACCTGAACAAGTGGGCAGGATGTGGGCGGTGACAAACATCACAGCCGGGGAAAGGGGAAAAAAAGACCGAGCTCTATATATACATTAAAACACATTTTCGAGTTATTTTATATTTTCTGATAATTTTATGTTGCACTATACGACCCTGACACTCGTGTTCATCCTCTTACATTGGTTCGTTTATATTAGCAGTTACTATTTGAGGGGGAGGACGAAAATACCGCCTCTCTTGCTCTGATTGGCTAATCATTGCACCAGCAGAAGAATTCACAGCGTCTGATTGGCAGTGCGAGCCTGGGACAGCGCTTAGCTTAGAGGGAGGGGGGTAAAGTTGTTGTTGTAATCTTTTCCACTACGCCGAGGCTTTATACAGTATATTTCTTTAACAATGCGAGTGTACCTGTAAATAGTTTTAGGGTATTTTGTATAAATTGCAAAGTCATTTTGTTCAGTTTTGTTCTGAAGCCATCTATTGGCTACCCTTTGAGTTCTGTATTTCTTAATCCAAAAATATTAACGTCAAGGGCAACTGGATGAAGTATGTTTTTTGAAGACCTTTCACCTCTCACCCAAGAGGCTTCTTCAGTTCTGATTGACTACTGGGAAATTCTGGTATTTAACCTCAAAGGGGCTGCATACCCGTAATGAGGGTCGTTGTAAAAAGGGGGGCTGCAGGTGTGGTGAAACACCCTATTCTAAGGAGGGCGGAATGTAAAGTCACAAGATTATAGGTGTGAATGGGGAGTGATACCAAAGCTATGGACTAATAGTTTTACCTGAGCGACACGTTTGGCTGGGTGTCCTTTGAAATGAAACTGTGGTCTTGTTTTAAGGGAGGGCGTTGAATTTTTTGGGGAGAGAACTATTTTGTTAAATGATTAAATATTTGAGTTCAAAATAACAGGCTTTTTTTAACCTTTAAGACTTTATGGAAAAGAAATATTTTTCAAAAAGAAACAAAAATGAAATATTGTAGTCATTCCATTTTGTTAGTTATTTCTACATATTTCAACTAATTTTAAACAACAGTGGGTAACTGAATAACAACACTAAAATATGTCAGCAGGTAATTAATATTACTTAAACTTTGGACAAAAATAAGTTGTGGACCTGAAAAAAAGAAATCACCACAAATGACTTTACAAGTTACATGATAAAATTTAATGGACATGTTTTATGAACTCAATGTCCTACCCTTTTCTCTTAAAAAAAGGATCTTGCAGTATTATGTTCGGGGTAAAAAAAAGTATCTACAATGACAACAACATCTACATGGACTTAAAATTGAAACTATTACTACTGTATGTTAAGTAATGTGAGGCAAAACAGAGGCATTCCCCTACAAACACAAGGTCCTACTGCAAATTGTATAAAATACATACAAACAGCTGGGCAAGCAATTAAGTACATCCATAAAATGGGAAAGAAATGAATGTATGTACAACAATTTCACAAATGCTCAGCAGATGCTCTTAAGGTGCTGAGTTGTTCCCCACAAAACATACTGTACGCTGGATATGTCAAAGATAAAGGGTATGAAATAAAACGAAAGGATACCAGACTAGCATGAAGGGTGAACAAATGTCCGTGAAGAAAAACCTGTACCATTTACAAAAATATTTAAAGCAACAACAAGAAAACAAACTAAATACATATTTCCATATTTTAACAAACCAATGCACGACAGAGTATGGCTTCACAGCTTTCTTTTCCATTTCCAGGAGGACTCCCACTGATTTTGCCATATCTCAATTTTTGTATTGTCCAAAAACAAATCCTTATAAAAAAAAATAAAAAAAGCTGGTTCTAAATGCCTGACCAGTAAAGCTGAGCATGGAAGCATCCTCCAATTCTCCATAAAGGATCAGTTCAGGGGCAGAGCAACCACATGGTCACCTCCCTGGAAGACCAGTGAAGAGGTGCAGAAATGGGAAAAGAAAAAAGCCATTGAGGGAACGTGTGGGTCGTGAACGAGTGGCCGGGTTGGTGGGATGGAGTAGGGTTGAGGAAAGATGGAGCAAGGGACAGTTTGACTGGGATGAAGTTTCATCTGGAGGGAGGGACGCAGGCAGGCCATGACTGTGCTACGAAACTCGGATCATCTGAGCCACAGTCTCATCTGCCTGAGATGCTTCCTGCTGTTGCTGCCAAAGCAGAGAAGCAGAATGGATTTGTCAGAAAAAGACAACATTCAAACGACCCAACTGTTGTCAAAGGCCTTAAGAAAACAAAAAAAAGGTTTTTAATGTTAAATAATAACATATAGTCAGTATAAAATTTCTATTTAATGTTGAGCCTCACCTGTGCCAAGGCCAATGCCATTTCCTCCTTCTCTTTGGGAGAGAAGAAACGTCCTCCATCTCCTCGCTTACGCTGCATAGCATGACGGTGGCGAGACTCATGCAGATATTTCTGGAATGCAGTCAGTCAAATCAGTAGAATTTTGTTAATATTAATCTTAAAATGAGCTATGCAGATGTTTCATTTAACCCAATAACCATGTCTCTTCCTCTCTTTGTTTTGCAGGAATATGGACTTTAAGGATCAAATTGGTTACTGGTGGTTAATAGATCCAGTTGGTAACAATAAGGTTCCATGTTTTCTTACCCTTCTCTCTTTGGGGATCTTGCCTTCAGCCTCCAGTTTGGCCCGCGCCTGTCGTCGCTTTAGGATCCGATGGTACTGTTTGGCGTTGACATACAGGGGCTCCTCCTCAAGCATCTCTGCTCCTGGCAGGGGAATACGTTGCATAGTGGGAACTCCACCCCCACCAGGGACCATCTTCAAAAGTAGGAATAAAAAAACAGATTGATGAAAAAATACTAACGATGAAGCTGGACACACAAACAGGTCCTATGGTGACGTAATGATGTAATTATGAGGTTTTCTTTTTAAATAATTTGACAAAAATTCTCATTTTCTCACAGTTTTATATAATGTGAAAAGGTAAGCTATATTTAAATAGAAAAATGAAGTTAAAAAGTTGTCACATCTTTTATCTGATCAAAACGTTCTGTGACCTTCACCATAAGGCACACCCTTTTGTGAACGTTAGAAAAGGGTAAAAAGATGCCGGGTACCTCTGAATAAGGTCTTACCATGACCATTCCACCTGCATTGACCATGTTGCCAGAGACGGGCAGGGTGACGGTCACAGTGCCTTGGCCGCTGTTGGTAGTGTTGGTGTTGGCACCACCTGCCTGAACAATCTGGGCACCGGCCAAACTGGCAGCTGGGATAGTGATCATGCCTGGAAAAAAGATTGAAATCCCAGTTTGTCATCTACAAAAACAAGTTAGCAGATCACCTGTTTGTAGGGTTGGAGTTAGTCTGAAAAAAACCTCTAACACAAACAGGGGGCTTTAAGGGAAAAACCATTTACCCTGCTGGAGGACAGCACCCTCTGCATTGACCGGCTGGTAGACGATGGTCTGCCCGTCAGCTGTCTGTGCCACCTGCTGCCCCTGCACACTGATCTGCTGCCCCTGTGGAACCACAAACAGGACTTAGTCAGGACTAAGTTTAACAGACCTTCAAATATATTTAGAGATAGAGTACCTTATGTATATATTTGCCAAAACACACACACACAAACATGCACACATACATACACAGAGTACAACAACCAGTGACCAGCCACACACTGGGAACAGACAAGGAAGTACTAGCAATAAACAAGAAATATTATGAAGGAAAAGCAGCAGTTTTCCCATCTTGTAAAATTCCAGTTGGTTTCCAACAGCTAAATGTTGCATTTGTCTGCCCAGGAACCCCTCATTATTGGTACTGCTATATTCATGGAGAAACTACACCTTCTGTGTGGTTCTTCAACATGTGAGAATAGTATACCTGGTTCTGTCCAGCAGTGATAGCTGTCTGGGGCTGCTGAATAATGATCTGCTGTGGCTGACCCTGCTGGCCCTGCAGCTGCAGCGTCTGGCCGCCCTGCAACTGGATCTGACCGGGCTGTACCAGCTGAATCTGCACAAATACAAACACCACAGTTGGCATTATTTTACAAAGAAACTGGACACAAAGTGATGAACTTTGGATGTAACATCTTGTTATTGTACCTGTTGTAGGCCCTGAGCTCCAGAAACTGGGACCTGCATAATAGTTTGCCCCTGTCCCCCAGACATGGCCTGCACCATAATCGGTTGCCCTGATGATGTGATGAGCTGCCCACCACTCACTTGGACCATCAGAGGTTGTCCCTGGACCTAAGAAATGATGAGAAGTGTTATACAGCAATATTGACTGTGTTTAAGCCTAAATGTATGTTGTAGAAATAAGAGCAAACAAGCGTTGCCAGGCCAGGATGAGCCAGTAAATAACTGTTGATCAAATGTCATTGTCTTATTTTAGGACAGATTTAAACAGTCCCACCTTCAGAACGCAAAATACAATTATAATTACAGCTGCTAGGAGATTGCTGCTGTGAATGTTCATATAATATTACTTTTCAGCCCAAATGCACACAATGAAATGGAATGTTGACATACTGTAGTAAGAGCAATATACAGTTGAATGGCAGCAAACATGCCATAAGATGTTAACTGGATAAATGGCACTGTAAAACATGAGGAAAAAAACAGCTACATGATGAACAGTGACCTGTTCTGCTCAGATGAAACAACTCAGATGTTCTTAAAACCCTTTCAGAATAAGAGTACTCTAGTAAGGCTGAATGTCATCCAATATTTTTTATAAGCGGTTGACAAACCCAATAGAACCCAAACAAAAACTGCTTTAGCCTCAGGTATTTGAGCTAAAACTGGATACTACAAATTAGTAATGACACTAAAACAGAACAACAGAACACAACTTCGCAATTTATTTCAGAATTTTGGAACAACTTTTCTTCATACCTGAAGTGTGAAGAGAAATAATTTCTGTTAGTAAAACAGATTACAGAAATACTGTCTATGCCATTTACAAACGCAAAAGAAATTTTGAAAAATCTTTGTCTGGAAAAAAAACTGTAACATCAGTTGGGGAAAGTCTGCTCTTACATGAAAACTGCATTTATGTAACAAAGTGAGAGTAACTAAATGCATTCAGTGTGCAAAAGCCTGGATAAACAACACACTATGCTGAGTTACATGCAGTTCAGGCAGCTGTAGTTCATGCTGGAGCTTGATGGGAAGATAATCCAAGCAAAACAAAGATGGCTCATAAAAAGCAGCCCTGGCTGTAGCATGCAAACAGGTGGGCTGCATCACGTCACAGCACTGACACAGGGCGGCGGTGACACCACTACCTGGAGTGTATGCACCTGCTGGCCTGAGGCCGTCACCACTGGCGCCTCTGTTTGCAGCTGCACAGCTGTCACTGTGCCCTGTGTCTGAAGACAAGGCAGGACATTATATTGTCAGGAAATCTAGACAGACACGGAACTCCTGCCAAGGAATAAGCACTCATAATAAACTGGTTGAAAAAAAAAAAGATAAACTCCAGATTTCTTTCTGTAATATTTACAGAAATCCACAAGAGTCAGAACCAAACTAAATAGAGATGAGTTCTGCCTTTTGCTGTAATTGGTATTTTAAACTTCAACTACAACTTTTGAACCTTCCTCTGTCATTACACCTGATAACTCTACAATGATGTGGCTGAAGTCAGATGACTTCCTGTGTGCTCCATACACACTGTTTTTTTGTACCATTTGGTTCCCATTTTAGGTCATCATGCACAGACTTAAACATTTATGATAGAAGAACTGTTTGAACATCGCTCAAGTTTTTAGGAAATAATGATTTTATCTTATGTTGGTCTTTATTTCTCAGCTCTAATTTAAAGACAGTGCCTATTAATAGGCAATCCTCTTTTAGCTTCACAAATGTGATGTGCAAATCAGATAAACTATGATTTCAAATGTTTGACCTATAATGAACTTCCAAACAGCCTTTGGTAATATTTCCAGTAGTGTATCTGAATACAGCAAAAACCTTTCACTCAAATGGGCAACTGGACTGCCTTTGGTTTGAAGATGTCTCTCCTCTTGAATGCCATCTACTCTAACTGCTTTGTGGCTCTTACTCTGTTTTTTCCATTTTATTTTTTCTACAACCATATACAACGCCAAAGGTTGACCAGTATTAAGTTACTTCAAGTCAACTCTGTTCAGCTTACCTGCTGCTGGATCTGTCCATTGGTGGTCTGTACAACAATCTGCTCTCCAGTGGTAGTGGTGGCAGTAGTGTACTGCTCCATAGCTTCTTAATGTCACAATCCTCTTCCCTGGGGACAAAAGGAAAACACATACAAAATTAGAGAATGTAATTGTTCTGTGATCAGTGAATGTTGAATTGTTGTCTATTGAAAGTACAGAATGTCAGTGCTGTACATCTGTACAAAAAAAATCATGGCAGAACAAAGCAAAGAAGGAAATACATGGTATTTGAAATATTTAACAAAAGTCATAAAGGGACAGAATATTTGGATTTCTTTTTTTAATTTTTCTTGAATGGGTGAGGTTTGCAAAATGTTGCCAAATTGTATGAATGCCCTCTCCAGATCTGATTTCAGGTTGGTATCAGGGAATGAGCAGACCTGTAACTTTAGAACGTAGGACTTGTGAAGGAGTGGAAGGGTTAGTGGAGGTCAGATACAGTAGTACAGCTGGGCCATGGCGTGAAGGAATTTGTTAATAACAAGTGCCAAAAATACCAGTAGTTTCTAGTCATAGCTGTCTTAGCTCCATCAACACCATTTTTAAATATATTGTTGACTTGTTAGATCTGGAATTGAGATCAATTCTCATCTGTCCATTCTCTTTCTCAGCTGCTTTTCAGCTGTATTCAGTTATTAAAACTGTACGGTATGCTCAATTTGGAGACTTTTACTAATTTTATATGCCCACAATAGATTAACTGAATCCTAATTGTAATAAACAGTCAATTATCATAAGGTGTCGATAGAGCAAATCATACGTCCAGATACAATTAATTAATTGACGCAGTCCTAATCTACCTATCAGTACAAATATTATTAATACGGATTCAAAATAGGAGAAATTATTTCTTTTGTCTACCTAGGTTCTGCAATGATTTATGTAGCGTTGAGTGCTCCTGTCTGTACAGGACAATGGGATTAAAACGAAAAACAATAACACAATAATGCCACGGTGGAGTAAACACAATGCAAAATGCCGTAGGATTTTGAAAGTGAACAATTAACCCACGATTACATGAGGGTTTTTTTACCAGGACATATTATTGCGCGCTAACAGGGCTAGCATGTTAGCACATTAAAAGCGTGGTATACAGACAAACGAAATTAGAAACGGCTTCAAACGGACAAATGAAAAGACGCAACGCCCTTTTAATTTTGCCTTTTATGTGTGTGCTTAAATCGTTATGTATTTTCCACATTTAATAATAAGGGACCCACAACCGAATCAACCGTCCCTTTGTTTCACGTATAACCACTCGCTATTCAAGCTAACTGGCTAGGGTTAGCAACACGCATCATGTTTCAGCATAGTAGCAGACACCGAGAGACAAACGAATGTTTTACAGCCGGAGAAACAGCATTCGGGAATCAACTGCCATTACACACACTTCTGCTCTTTTTTGCATTATGCAGGGTTAGTCATTTGGTTGGTCCATGACAAACCAATCCGTGCTGACAACTACCAATGCCTTCAATCGGGTTTCCCTTACCGTATCTCTGCTGTCCGGTTTCCCTCTGATTGGCTCCAGTACAGCTCGCCAAAGCCCAATCAACAAAGTGAGCGGACAAAATGGCGCAAATGAAACAACGGCGCCGAGGGAGGAGGTGCGCAGCTGCGTGACATGATCACTGGGTCAGACTGCAAAAGTATGTACTGACCACCAGATGTCACTGTTTAGATTGGTTGTTTTTGTTGTTGTTGTGTCAAACCATACATGTCGATATTACATAATTAAAGTTTAATTATTTGTATTTTAATTGTTATTTTCACAGAAGGTAATTACATGTTAGGGATATATATTTAAGATTAATGCAGGCTTTATCTAACAAATACAATAAAACATGGCCCATGTTATTGCACAGTAAAAATAGAATGTTGCATAATATTTCCAGTAATTTTAAAAATATCACAGTAAGTGGGACACTGTGTGGCGCATCTCGAAGCAAGTGATTAATGTTAAAATGGCTCCTAAAATTAACACAACACGCTTGAAATCTGCGACATTTCATTTCATCATACGATGATGCGTAATCGTAGATTTTTATAAATAAGAATGACATCCATACCGCTAGTTGGCAGTAGCGCGTTTCATTTACAGCATTATGCGAGTGTTTTCGGAAGTAATACACAGCGTGACTGTACTGCGTTTTCCTGTAGGCTCGTGTTTATATAGTATATGTTGTCATATGTTCTGTAAAGTCTGTAAAGTAACCGAGAGGAAGATTGTTACACCGATCACAGTTCAGATACTTCCGTGGACTTTTTCATTACTCTGAATCGGCCGTTCAGCATGTCTCTGCGGCTCCTTTCCCTTCTTCTATCTAGGGCTGGTGCTCCTCTATCTATGACTTCTTCGAACAACTGCAGGTTCATAAACGGAGGAACCAAACCATGGATGGGACAGAGGCGTCGACCGGAGGAGAGAAATGAGGAATTTGAAGGAGACCTGGAAGACGAGGGAGATGTAGAAGACAAACTCCAGGCTTTGCTTGAGTAAGGGCTAACAAAAGCCAGTCACACATTGATCATTGTTAAAGTCTATTCTTAACCCAGACTGTGCTACTCAGTCAAACAACATCACTTGTGGGGTTTTTTTAGTAAGGAGGGAAAGAAGCAGAGGACTGTGAAATATCACATAATGAGGAGACAGATGACTCCAAAATGTGCTCCACAAAGAAAGCTGACCTGGGAGGCCATAGAGCAGATCAGGTGAGGAGGTCACGTCATGTTGTTACAATTTGATTCATTGTATTGGGTACTTGTAACTGTAACTGCAGTTAAGAAGTAAAAAATGTCTTCTTTTTTAAAAAGATATCTCAAGGAAGAGCAGCCGCAGGAGTGGACTGTAGAGCGCCTGGCAGAAGGATTCTCTGTCAGCTCTGACGTCATCCTCAGGGTCCTCAGAAGCAAATTTGTTCCTACTCTACAAAGAAAAGCAAAACAGGATGCGAAAATAATGGTCAGACTGAGGGAGCAGGGGCTGCTGCCCGGTGTCAAGCAGGACACACTGAAGCTAACAGAAAACAAAACAGCAGCAGTACTGCCACCTGGAGGTAGAGAGAGAGCTTTAATACCTGCTGCCAACCAGAATTTGACAATCCAAGAAGAAGCCTCAAGGTCAGTGGTCAGGAATGCTCCAGTTTCTGTTTTGTCCACACAACTTTCCGTTGGCGTTAATGAGGATGCGACAGAGATGATAACGACAGAAGACTCTCCTGCCACTACACCGTTCACTCCGGAGGAGGAGCTTGAGGATGAGGAGGAGTGGGATGGACTTGTGTTTACGGAGGAACAGATTGTAGAGTTTATGGAACTAGAAAAGAAAAAACCTGCTCCTGCAGTGCAAGTTGGAAGTGAGTTTTTTGATGCTGAAGGAAACTTTCTGTATCGGATCTAAGTGAATGTTTTAGTCCTGTCTCCTCACCGAGTGGTTCTCCAGATGAGGACTGTGGACCTCTTGTTGGTCCAAGTCACATTGAACATTTCCTAGATTCAGTCTGCAAAATCTTCCTACATTTTTTAAAAGACCTTATAAATAAATTATTGGTTCGCAGATTAATATTTTGTAATTCTACTTGGTCTTTATTTCTCCTTGTCACTTTCTTACTTGAATTTTGCTTTTTTATTATTACGTTGTCAATGAAACACAGGAACACACTTTCCACTATCTGTGTGTCATCTGTGACGACACATGATGACTTCTGGGATCGGTTCCAGCTGCCCTTGCAAACCTGGAAAGAAATAAACTGTAGAAAATTAATTAATGAATCCCGAACAGGTTACTTCAGTGTCTGTTACTGAAGTAACCTGTCCTGGATTCATTAATTAACTTTGCTAACAAGGAGTCTTTGTAGTGTCTATCAATTGTCTAAGATCAGCAGACTTTTTCATAAAGTTATAAAAAGAAAAAAAAACAAAAGGAGAGAAACATATGAATTTATTGGCAAACCCAAACAAAAGTGCCTCAAATATACAGAAGTGAGAACAACAGCAGATACAAAGATGCAATCTTGTGTATTTACAGAACCATCACAATGACTTGTACAGCATTTCTGTATAAAGTGTAAGAAAGAAAATATACATTACCCTCAATGCAACACATCCTCATTAACGATCTCAGCTTCTCCTAGTGTACAGTAGCTGAATTACAACCAAGTGTTCATTAATCCATCATAGCCAGAACCATTGTCTCAGTCCAGGAAAAGAATCAGCAGAATATCTGTGTACTACTGTGTACTACTTCCTCTGCTCAGCTCCTATAATATTGCCATGGATGCAAGTGATCTGAATGGTTTACACATCAGCTAAAATAAATATTGATCCATTCAGTTACGCTGGTTATATTTCGAGGTTAGCCGGGCACTTGCATAACCACAGACAGCTTATTGGAAGGAGTCACAGAAAATGAACAGCTGCAGAGATTTTAGAGAAAGACCTGCAGATTATTGTGCAAGAAATTGTTGAAAGTGGGACAAAAATCCTGTGAATGTGTCATCTGTTTGTTTAGCTTCAAAGAGACAGTGTCAGGACCGTGAACAGGGAGACAGATGCCGTCGATGTTATTTTGCTGAAGACGCTTCAAGTCAGCCGTGTTATTTAACATATACAGTGTGTACTGAGGTAAACAGCATGGAAGTTACTGTACCTTACCCTCTCTCCCTCATATATTGTTTCTGTGCCTCATCTAAATGTGGTGTAAAAATATTTGACAGTTATCAAACATTAGTTTTCGTCTCTGCTTCGACATCTTTATCATTTACTTCTCAATTTCAAAATGTAAGTACAAAACTTCAGGATTTTAATGCAAAGAGCCACGACAAGAGCTCTGAAAAGTCTGCCTTGGTTTCTATGAGGTTTAAAAATAAAAATCTAAATATTTCTATGCCAAAATACAAATTAAAACTCCATCGTGTTGGATATATAAAGTATATGATCTATTTTACATAAAAAGTGTACACTGTCTTACATTTAGTGAGTCAAATTATCAAGAGGAGAGTGCAGTTCAGTGGCAAAAAGCTGCAGGAGCTGTGTTTTTTCCAGTGTGATTGACAGATATTTAATGTTTCTTATTTATAGTATAGCACGTAGGAATTAATTAGAAAATAAAACAGAATTCTGGAAAAGCAATAAACAGACAAATTTGTGGCCCTTTTTTTCGTTTGCAAAATGCAGGGCTGTTTCCAAGTTGAGATATTTATCAGTTAAAAAACAGACCCAGCAGGTGGCAGTAGTGCAACTTTGAAAACGCTTGGTGTCAATAAAGGAGGAGTAGCTTATACCCAAACATCAGAAGAAACTGACAATATCTACCTTAAATCCTAAAACAAGACTTAATTTCTGCCGTGGAGTGCAAATATTAATCATATATTATTATGGTTGGTGAGATTGTAGTTGTTAAGGTTTTAAATGATTTTTAACCAAATACGGGAGGAAACCAGTGGAGCTGGGCTCAGACATGTCCAACACAGAGAGGAATTCTTCAACTTTGAAACACGTATGTTGTGGACCAGCATATCAAAAATGTGTTTCAAGCACCCCCTGCAGGGGAGGTAGTGAACTTACATACAATATTAAACAAGACTGTGGAAGCTTAACTCTCTTGTTATGGCCACCTGAAGGCAAGAACCACACAGTTATGAACAAACACCAGTGATTATTTCAGTACTATCACATTAGGAACAACTGAGGACAAAATGTCCAACTGCTAACTCTTGGTACAGGAATAACCTTGTGCTTTAGGCAGTTACAACTGCAGACATTACACCTTAGAGAAATCCTGTCTTGGAACACTTCACCACTTTACACGCTGATGCAAAACTGTCCCCATTCATTTAGTCAAAACACAGGAGACCTGTGAGTTCATGTGCACGGCCGCCTCGTGCACTGAGCCTTCACATATTATTGCTATCAAATCTAATGCAAATGGACATCTCCATTTGTCTCTTATTACTTTGACTGTGGAGCTCGGTGTCACAGTTACTAAATTTACAGGCTTGTTTCCCCTGCAAAGATGATGACAAAAGTGTAAAATTGCCAAAGCTAAGGCTTGAAATTTACACATTATTGGCTTTTGTAGGGAATACATTTTAACTTTTTTTTTATATATAAACAAGAAAAACATTTTAAGAAGGAGTTGCTTTTCTACCTGCTTCTAATACCATGTTGATACCACAAATGGCAAAAAGGTGGGGGTGGGGGGAGGGTGGGCGTTTATGTACAAGTGAAAGAAAAAAAAAGTAATAGGTCATTAGCATAAATAAGAATATAATTTTCCAGTGGTGGACATGACCCATAATATAATGATGATCAATTTATAAGAATAACTTTCTTTCAGCAGTTCAAAGCATTGTGTCAGTTCTCTGTTAAACCTGTAGACCTAAAATTAATCATTAGAATTACAACAGAAGCACCGCACTACAAGGTCTCCTTAGCTCCTGTCACGTGTGCTTTAGTCCCAGGATGCCTCGGTACATTCACTCTTCACTTCCCAGATGTTTGCCACAGACTCTTTGTCCGGAAGCTGAGGCCAATGTTCATGCTAGAAGACGAAAGGAAGAAGTAGCTGGAGTTGAAAAGAGAGACAGGAACAGCAGCCAGGCACTAGGTGGACTGGAAACCTGTCGCTTAGGTGCAGGACAGGTCGTACCTGTTATTCAAGCATGTCCTGTGCAAAGAGAAAGAGAGAGAGAGAGAGAGAGAGAGAGAAACAGCATACCAATGAAGACAGAGAATGACAAGTGAGCAAACATGAAACCATTATCCTCATGTGTACACACGCCCAACTCAGGTGACCTAGTTATGGATCACATAATGTTGAAGTCTGAAATGCATCCATGGAGGCTGAACACCAGCTAAAAAAGTTAACTTTCACTTTGGACTTCTGGAAATCTTCGATATTATGGAGAAGGCAGCTGGGGCTAAAAGTGTATGGACAAGTACCCAAGTAAAAAGCATAAATACTGCACCACTGACTGCAGCTGAATGACACATTATAATGTCTGCAGGCCACATTAGAGACACAGAGACTCTAATGAACAGTACGGATTAGCATCTTAAAGCAGAACTAGAAGTCAATCATTGCCAGGTAATAACTGACTATGGATGGTTCACCGCCTTCCACGTGCTGCAGACAGAGAACGCTCATGTCATGGTGATTTTTAAATGCCTTTTAAGGTTGAACTGCTTTGTGGTGTTTCGTCACTCTTTATTACTCTAAATTTGCCATCTCAATAGAAGATATTTTGTGAAATGTCAAGTTCAGCCTTCATCCTACATGTCTGTGTTTTTATGAAAGAGGAAAAATAAAAGTCCTTTCTACCTCATCTGAGTCGTCGTGGAACTCTATCTTGCCATTTTGAACATGGTTGGTCTCCAGTGGATCGTCGATGTCCGCAGAAATGTTTTCCTCTGCGTGTTGCTGCAGCACAGAGTACCTGTGGACCAAGAACCTGGAAAACACATCCAAAATACGGTGTCAGGCCATGAAACGTAAACAACAACAAACTGGACAACGATCATGGAGAGAAAATGAACTGACCTGCCGCCGCAGATGTACCTCTTGACAAAGAGAACTCCTGCTGCGACGCTGAGCAGCATGACGATGACGATGGTTACCACGACGAGGACAGACCTGGAGGAGTGATTCACCACCTGAAAAAATTCAAGCAGACACAAAGAAGGGAAAAATCATGGTAGAATAATAATTAGATGGCATGTAAACACACAGCACATATAGGTCAACACTATTGACATGCACTTGTACTGACCAGGAGTTCAGGGTTGACCAGGTCACTCACACACCTCTTACTGAGGTCAATCTCTTTGCGCTCAGGCATCTGTCCTCCCTCACACTTATCACCAGGGATCTTCCTGTAGCTGTGAAACAATTGTCATTTTTAAAGCTACAGGGAGTCAAGTACCATGATGAGGCAGATTTTAAATATATTCAGTTAGAAAAGAAAAACAATTAACTTCTGTTTTTTGGGGGTTTGTTTTTTCTACCATTGTTCAAAAACAACCATTTGCAACAATAGAGTAAATTAATATTTAAATATTTATTGTGAACAATAATACAATTATTAATTGATTAACTGCAGTTAAAGCAGCAACAGTTTCTTACCCACTGGTCTGCAGTTGCTCCTCTTTACCGTGAAGACAGAACTCCAGTACTTTTCCTGCCAGGTCTGGCTGTTCCACACACTCTGAGCTGTTCTCTTTACGGTAGTACCCAAAATCACTGCAATACAGTACACACAATCTATTCAGCACATAAAAAAAATCACATCTAAAAAAACATCCTTTGGTTACAGTCACTGTGTAGTATTTGGACCTTTTTGTAATTCTACCTTGATAACAAAATGGGACCTTTACACAGAACAAAGTTGTTATTAGTCATTGAGTGTAATAAAAATGAAATCCAGTCTGATGATTACCACAGGAATGTCTTACCACAAGAAGTCGTCCAGGGTGCAGGAACATGGAGTAGGCTGGGTGTTGACAAAATAATTCCGTCCGTTCAAACAAACAGAGTCCTTTCGGAGCCGCCGGAATTTTTCTTTGTAGCCCAACATGCAGCCGTCGTTGGGGTCGCTGATGTCATCGGAGTGAGCCAACCACTGCACATAGTCTTTGTCTTCACCTGAACACATGGACGTATTATATTTTTTTCCTCAAATTATACCAGAAGATGTCCAAATAAAGACTCATGGGTGTTTTTTTATTCACTCACAGGTTCTGGTGAGGAGATCTTTGAAGTCAATGGTGATGGAAACCCAGTACTGACTGAGAAGGGAGTCCCTGTAGCCCCACAGACTCAGGTTCATAGAACGAGCACCAGGCTCTGAGGCCAGTCCAGAAAAGTAGATTGGGTCATCAGTGAAATTATACACAGCCCAGCACTGTCCTTCGTCGGTGGAAAACCTAAATTCAAATGGAGAATATTCTAGTACATAGTATGTGGAAATCAGCCACGTTTGGTGCTGATACAGAACTGCCCGCTTTAATCTGGCACCGACAAAATGTAAGCCTTGTGTGACAGTGGTATATTCTGGCAAACACACTGTGCTCTTGGCAACATGTACCTGTACCAACATGGACCAAAAATCCTCCATATTTGTGCCTTTTTTAACACCACTTTTGGCTGACTAGTACCAAAGCTGTAGCCAGCTCATGGCCCAGATCTGGCAAACAGAAGTGGACCACATATGTGCCATCTGTCCCTAGAATAGGTGTCATATGTATTGGATAAGGACCAGATTTCTCAATAGATGTGTGCTGTTACTGAAATGCAGTACACCAACCACAGCAGACACACAGGAGCCAGCCGAGACTGAGACTCAGTCAGACACATCAGCGTGGCTTATGTCTTGTGTCACATCTGACTGTACAGGATTTTGTGTTTCTATAAATGTTTATGTTTTTATTTTTTCTTACTGACACAATATATATGTAGCTCACCCTGTTGGAAAATGTCACTGATCTGAGGAAATCAGTCTATCAGTGCCCTAAAGTGATATTCCCTAGAGAATCAGTTCTTCATATTTCACAGACACTCACTTGATCCTGCTGATTGGTTGGTTGGGGTTGTGCTCCACGGCCACCAGAAGCCCTCCAGAGTCCAGAATGGCGTAGTGATGAGGTCCATCCAGGGCCTTGATCCAGGTGTACCCTCCATCATCAGAGACGTAAACATCAGGGTTTATCACTGAGATGGCATCACCGACACTTCCTGAAAAAAAAACAAAACACATTTCCTTATATGAATGGTGTCTACATTGCCCTGGACAAATGTGTCGAGATGTAATGGCTGTGAACTCACCATGAGCTAAGATCAGCCCCACAGCGTTCGGCTCACTCATGGGCAGCATGGGAATATTCAGCCTCATGGCTGTGCTGTAGGCTGCATGGATGTGGAGGCTGCACTGTAAAGAAGTAATAAAAAAAAAACACAAGTTAAAACAATGAAAATAGATACAACTAACAGCCAGGCACACAGAGACGGTGTCCAGTAAATTTGAAAATTAGTCATTTAAACAATACAACAAAAATTCTACAGAATTTCTTATAAAAGTTTTCAACAACAATTTAATTGAATCTTGCCTAAACTAAACAATTACAAAGTTCCTAAATAAATATATAATTCCCTCAGTTTCAGGAGACAACCAGAGGTGTTTGATTGTAATGTAATTTCCCTCTTATTATAATATATTTTGGGCATTTCTGGATGGAAAGGTTTACCAGTAAAAATATGGACAGTATATGAAGGTCATGTGACTCAAGACATGTACTGTAGAAAAATGATAAAAACGAGGTGCATTCATTATGGACTGGAGGGCACTGGGAGCAGAAGGAAAACAGCAACAGAAAAGTCCTGCACACTTGACTTTAAAGACATATTTTCTACTTTCTGTCCTTACTTTCGCTGGGTCCTTGGCAGTAGCGTCACACTTGCTGTTCACAGGTTTCCTCAGAGGAACCCATTCTCCCCCCTGGTCGAAGGAAATGACAGACTGCACAGAATCACCTGGAACAAGACGAGCACATTGACTTTTCACTGTTTGTTCAGATTGTACCTTTATTTGAAGTAGACAAGTGAAAAAACAGAACAGGTGACAACGTTGTTTATCCAGGTTCACACCCGGCCTGGTAACAAACAGCAACTAAGGTGGTGTGACCTGTTGTTGTATCTTTAATTCACCGCAGTTTCTTTCTAAATTATATGTGTCTGAGAGACGAGGACAGAGGTAGGCTTGTTGTTTTTATTTTTAGGTTTTTGTTTTTTAAGCATATAAATAGTAACCTGCTTAATTAGCTGCCTGAAGGAAGATGAAGCAGGACAAAGTGGGACGCTCGTTCCTTTCTATGAGTCCATACAGTAGTATGCTACTTCAATGCAAAGTAATGTGGTTCCTTAACATCTAAATACAATGTTAGTGATGTGTGGTTCAGCATTACTGGATTTTTTACACACATGTTTAACAGGTAAACCAGCAGGACACTAACCAACAAACTGCTGTTCAACTGTAAACATTTGATCCAGGGTCAGACTCAGGACAGGACCGTGGCTAGTCGTTAGGTCTGTTACGTCAATATGACTTTAATGTCTCCATGGAGACTATCAAAAGTTGTCCTGCCCCACTGGCTTTGTCACCTGTGTATTTACAAATGACAAACCACTTATACTGTAGTGTTTTCATAATACAGACCGTGTTCATTTAGTGCTGTGATAAATGAGCAGCTGTGCTTAATTTTTTGGTTGCACGTGATAGCAGTCTATTTTAAGTCAATTTTGCATTGACTTTGACTTAATGAAAAAACCATCATTAATGACATTAGTAAGTACAAGTGAGTTCATTAACCAGGCAAAACTGAAGCTACCACAAGATGAGAATCTACAAGATTAAAAGAGTGTTAAAATCTAAGGAATGACAGAGAGAGGCAGAGACAGCAGTGTTAGGATTGAACTGGTGATGTAAGATATGTCAGCTCCGGTGTCATCCAGCAGCTTCCAACAGACAGCACATTTAACACAGGACAGCTAATTAAATATTTACCGAGCGCCTCCGCTCCAGTGTGGAGCTAATGGAGCGTCATATCTCTGTGTTTCTGGAGGAATCTGCGCTCCATCATGAACTACTATTTCCTCAACTAATCAAACAAATAGACATTTAGGTACCTTCGCCCAGGATACTGGTGATATAAACTCCTCTCAGTGAGGTGACATTGGTGAAGTCTGTATCGCCCCCTGTGGTGGTGTAAAGGTGCCGCTCCAGTGACTTGGAGTACACAGTGCCTCTGTCATCTGATACATAGATGGTGCCGAAGCCTGTATCTGTGGACAGAAACGTTTACAGTACAAGAATTAAGATTTGATATTAAGACTCAGCTGATGTTTGAAGAACAACAAGAAACTGGAGCCTATTTCACGTGGCCAAACAAACAAAACACCCATGTGACAGCTCAGTGCGTCAGTCTCAAACTGTGGGTAGCAGTGTGGATCTGTGACAGCCTACGCTCCTCAGAGAAGGCTGCAGTTGTGTTAGTCATGGACCAGCTATAAAACAGATTTTCACTACTACAGCCTTAGAAGGAGTCAAAACAGCTGGTAGCCACTAGCGGGCGACTGCTGCAGAAATAAATCTACTTATATAAATGTATGTTGTATATATATATGCTTGTTTGTTGATGTCAATAAACTTAACTTCATTAGGTGGTTTAAGTCCTGTAGGACATTTTAATCAATAATGATGTCTTTTTTTTTTTTTTTTTTTACAAATTCTAAGACTATTTGAATGAAAATATGAAAGCCAACCGAGGGGTGACAGGGAAACGTTGTGAAATAGGGTAGGTAGGAAAATATTTGTGTGAAAAAGACACTGAAATTAAAGCATGTCACATGACACTAACCAGGCATCTCTTTTGTTTACAACAACTGCAGTTTATAGGCCATCCTTGATTAGACCACATATTAATATCCCTAAATCATATGACTGTACAGGTCTGAGTGAACAACAACTATCCTTAGTTTGTCCTCAGCTCCTGCCCCCAAAAACTATGTAAAACAGGCATATACAAACATTCAGATGACAGATGGCTGACTGCAAACCGTACATTTCTTTCAATATAATGTTTGAAATTAGATCAATAAATCATCAAATTGGCAACATAGCCTGACCTCCGGGTTCGTCAACATGCATGAAAACCATTTCATCATTTGCTGCCAGAATGGAGTAAAACTGCTCATGACCAACAGGAGGCAGCTGGGCCATGTTCCAGGTTTCCCCCTTGTCCACAGATACATGGATCATCCTCAGTGTGCCCTGTAAAAACAAACTACTGTGAACGGTGTGATCAAAACAACAGCTGTTTGAACAGTCACTGATTCAATGAAGTCAGTGACAGGATTTCTTCATCATTAATGTTTTTAATGCCTGTTTATTATAATTACCTTTCCTGTCATCACAGATGCGAAGAGGAAGCGACCGCCCAGGCCAAAGGAGTAGATCTTACTGGCAACAGTCTTGATGGTCTTGCCATAGTCTGAGGTCTTCTTCAGTTCCAGCATTCCTCGATCCACTGACAAAACAAACACAAACGCACAGTTGAAGTCTGGGTTCAAGTTGGAGACGTTGTGTTTTGCGACAACAATAACCACAAAAGTGGTCATTTACCACAGTGGTACTACAGCAATAATTAATATATCAATTGTATTTAAGATTTATACAGACACACTGTAGGCCGACTATGTGGAGATATTATATAACCATTAACGTCAAAATGTTCCAGTCAGTTTAAATTGTGAGAAATTAAATAAATGCCAAACAGCACTGACAGAACTCTGTTTGTGTGTGTGTGTGTGTGTGTGTGTGTTGAAAGGTGTGACTTACTGCAGGAGCCATTATTACTGGCTGTAAAAAAGATTGTATTTCCTCTTCCCCTAAAAAAAGGATTCAAAGTACAGACATCATTAAAACATGCAAATGGACATTAAATTCAACACAGAATCAAACACTGTAATATAATTATTTATAATAAAAATGGTTGCTGCTTTGTTGATACGTTTAGCAGCCAAATGATCACTATGCATACAAGCCCCTGTAATGAGCACAATGTTGTTACGTTGAGAGTCACGATCTCTTAAACCAGATCAACTTCAGATCGCCCTAGTTGCACAAATATTCTGTCCCATGACCTTTACACCGGCAGCTTTCATGGACCTTGTAACCTTGACACTGCAGCTTTAAAACTGAAACAAGTACACTAAATGGGTTCTCAAGATTAGACTAGATAAAAAAATACAAGGAAGTGACAGAAACAGAAGTGGTGAAAGGACTGAGCAGTCCATACAGCCACAGTGTGAAATTCAGTTAAGACATTTTCTTTTAGTTTACAGGTTGCAACAGACGCATCCACTACGAGGAGTCAAAGGGTCAACTAGTGCTTGGAAGAGATAACACGGGGGAAAAAATTGGTAAAAAATTAAATGTCACATGAATTCTACAATGGATTACTGGCAATATTTGCCAAAATTGAGCTGAGTGGGTTTTTGTAAGATAATAGTCTAAAATTAAATGAAAGAAAATGGCTCTTGGCTGTAAGAGAGCATATCAGTTTTTTTATAAATTGGCTGCCTGACCATAATAAAAAAACACCGCTATCTTCTCCCCCTCATAGATAAATCCCCCAGACACACCCTCTTAGCAATACAGAGTAACTAAAGTGTCTGTTTAGTACCCACTGCAGTGACTAAGGTCCTTGTGACAACCTTCTGATTTCTTACCACTTTGCCAGACACACCATGTTGTGAGTCTTCTTCCAGTTGCTGCCAAAATCTTCAGAGAGCCACATTTCATTCTGAGGGTAGAAACATTTTAAATTTTAATGTCTTTAATGGCGAACTCATGAATCACCTATGAGGGGCAGTGTTTACACAGCTACACCTGACCTTGGCCAAGTCATAAACACCACAGACATGTTAATGAATGTCACATGTGTAAACACAACACAGAATGATTGACCAATAGAAACCTTACAGGTGTCAAGGAAGCCAGCTACAGACCATGAGGCTTTTACAACTTCAGCTAAGCTAATTTCCAGGTGTATTTGAAAATGCACAATTAAACCGCACCGTCAGGTTCACTGGCACTGAAATAGAACACTTTACCAACCATTTGATTCTGACACTCACGTCTATGCTGAGGGCCAGCAACACACTGGAATCCTCAGGGTTGTATGTGATCTGGGTCAGTGGTGTGAAGGGCAGGTTTTTGTTGGTAAAACTTTTTCCAAAGTCATTAGAGACAAAGATTCGAGAATCTTCCTCTCCAGACACCTCGCAGGTCAGGATCACCTGTATGAGGCAATGTGAAGAAATCAAACTGATGAAGCAACAAACTGAAACATCATCTTCGTGCATCTTTATGAGAAATCTCCAAATAACAATGTGGGTTCTGTCCTTCCTGAAAACTTGACTCACTTTGCCCGAGTTCTCAGGGCTGATGCCAATTCCAAACTCTGCCCTGATGAAGGTGTTGTTAATCAGTTCGGTGATATCCTGGAAAGACTTCCCATAGTTCTCACTGGCAGACAGAGAGTACAATGACAGGGAAATGAGAGGCAAATTCCATGCAAATTAAAAAAAAAGAATATTTGCTTCATTTACTCACCTTCTGTAGAGTTTGGACTGACCGAATTTCATCATGAAGAAGGGCACCTGGAAGGTAGTCAGTGCCAGGATGACCTGCCAAGAAAGAAAAGTCATTGTATGTGTGACACCCTTGGGGATGTACAGTGTGACGTAACCAGTGCACAGACAAGAGACAAGGAACAGTTTCTTTTAAAATCAAGTTCACTGGCTGATGGATCAGTTCAACTGTACCTGCTAATGGCAGAGAGAAACAACACTTACCCCAGTGCCATCTCCAACCCAGGCCAGGGACACTGAACCACTCAGGTCATTGAAGGTATACTGTAGAAATGACCAAAAAGAGCATATATTATAGTATGAGTCACAAAACTGACAGAGAGACAATATTAAAAAAGGTGCTAGCAAGAGACAAGCCTGCTGTTATTGTAATATATTTGATACATGCTGTGCTTTGTACAATGTTAAAGGGGAACTACTAAAATTTAAGTCAAGGTTCTTCCTCTACTGTTGTAATTGTTTGTGTCACTATAGTATCAGTATATCTCGTAAGAGTGTGAGGGGGAGAGAGGATTACAAACTAACAGACACACACACATTGTCAGTGCATAACAACGCTTACAGTGTAAATACACACACAGTGGGAGCGAGACTTACCTGCACCAAAACACAAATATTGTTTCCTAAGAATTCCCTTTAAAACCACCGACACCAGTTAAATAGTCTGTGGATTAAACTCTAGACTTGTGTTTGTCTACGTCAGCTCAGATCAGACCAGAACTGGTGTAACCTGTAGCAGTTACCTCAGGAGGAAAGACAGGGTTAGCCTCTAGGAATTCTGGAGACTTCAGATTCGGCCTAAGTATACAAACATTATAATGTAAAGTTAATCAAATGTGAGCCAGGAGCTAGGCTAAAGAAAAGCACCGGAAAATGAGAAATTCTCTGTTGTCTTAAGGTGTTCAGTACACCGATGTATTCTCTCTTTGGTGCCATTATGAGCCTCAAAAAACTCTATCACATAAACGCACAGGAGACAAAATGTTGTCTCCAGGATCAAGGATTGTGTCTTCAGGAAGTGAATAGGAAAAACAAATTGCAGCACTCTGTTCCTAACTGCCTCCTCCAGCACACGAACATGGCTTTTAATTACAAAATAACTAGCACACAGCCAGTCACATGGAGTCCCTCGAGCCTATTTTCCTACAAACACTCAGACAGATTCACTTTCTCAGTCAGGTAAAAGAGAGGTGGCATCCTTGGACTGCCAGCATTTAGCTGAATGTGTGATGAGAATGAAATATAGGTCAGAGTCATTTGAGAGGTTTGGGAGTTTCGGTAGAGACAGAACATGTCTTAAAAATTAAGGGAAACAGGCGTCGTTGTTGTTACACTACAAGCTCATTAAACTGCACAGGGTTCGGATATTAAACATACGATGCAGCGCATGGATTTTATCTGATTGTTTGGTATCGATTTCTAACAGGGAAATGACTGATTCATCTGCAGTGTGCCAGTTCACCTGAGCTCAAGGCTTCAGTTTCACCTGATGGAAAGGAGTCCATCTGTGGTTTTGCTCCGGATGGGCTCTATTTTTTTGCACCTGGTTCCCTCACACCTGTGCATGATGTTCTCCCCGCCCGTTTAATTGTCAGACGTGTGAAGTGTAACAGGACCGAGAGAGGGAGCGGGTAACTTACACGGTGGGTGTTGGCTGCCAACTTGGGCTCGTATCCTTTGAGAGCCTGGCAGGTGTCGACCTGCTCTCCTCCGGCGCTCCTCCGCCTTATCTTGTGGAGCCGTGATGCGGCGGGGAGCCAGGCTTGCAGAGACCTCTTCACGAGTCTCGCTCCGCTGTCTGCCTGCTTCACAAAAGACAACTGTCCGGAGGCTCGGGATTCCAGCTTAAAATCTAAACCGGCGGCTTTGAAAGTGAAGAGCGATAAGAGCAGGACACACTGCAGCAAAAGTCTCATCCTTAGCGATGGTATTTTAAAAGCAAAATAAAAAGAAAACAGGGCAAACAAATTAAAAGAGCCCACAGTGCGAGTCTTTATTTATCCTGCTTCTGCCTAGAAATTGAAGGTCGCTACGGCTATGCTGCCGCGGATGACATCAACAAAACAGTGTAGTCCTCCTGACACCGACTGCTTCGGCTTGAAACAACGCGGACCGCCCCGAAAGCTGTGACTGCGCGAAAATTACCAAAATAATGCGAGGAAAATATATATATTTAAAAATTAACCGTGGGGTAAATCGCTAATTAGTAGCACTGTAACTCCATGGCGAACATGATACACTGTAATAGGGAGGCAAGTGGAGTCTGCAGATCCGTAATGCTCTGTACAGAGAGGAAGCGCTGTGATTGGTTACTTTTTGTTATGGTCCACCTATCCTCCGTCCTGATTGGCCTGGTTTTGAAAAGGCGGGGCCAGAACAAGGGGACATGCATAATTAGCTGTCAGTGCCTGTCTGTCAGGATTGGTTGAGTTATACTCAATTTCTCAAAACACACACACACAAAAAAGTGTTTTTTGTACATACACCGTGTGGTATGTCATTTTGAATAAAAATGTTTGTAATGTTCCAGAGAAGTGCACTGTGAACTCACAATGAAGAATGAGGAAATGTTTTATTGTTGCAGCTCAACTGAACAAAATTGACTCAAAGTACAGCAAAGCAAAAGTGAAAGAAATATTACAATTCAAAACTATATTTGATTTTTTGTTTGTTTGTTTGTTTTTTAAAAGATGTAGTGTAGTGTTGTAAAATAGCACCCACAAAATGTGTTAAAACATCGTCAATATACTACCATGTGCCCACAGCTGATAACCAAGACAAATCAAATGTAAAGGGAATGCATCAGTGGTTATACCATAGGTGACCATGCAGGTCAGGGCCTCATATTGGAATCATAAAGATTTTTTTGGACATGTCAGAAATAAATATTTTTCCAGGATCCAAGGTTATTCAGCAGTACAATTCCAGGTTCCATTCTGCACATGTAACATAAACATGGGTTTGCAGACTGTGAGTGACATAACTGAATACTGGATCTGCCAGTCAAGTTAATTAAAATGTCAGCTGTGTAATAACGAGCTTTGACAGTTGATAGCTTTAGTAATTGTACAGCCAGAATAGGCACAACTCTGCTTTCAAATCATCAAACGTTAGTATCCTCAGTTCCTAACCTACTGAAAGAAATAGTAAAAACAAAACCCTTTGTGAAAAGAAATGGTAAGGAGAAAGTCTTTAAAATGTTGCAATCTTAACTGCACGTTTCCAAATGTTACACCTAAGGACTAGGGGATCTTTGTCGTCAATTATTAATCATTATGACTGGGCATGACTGGTCTTATCAAACATGACTGTGTTGTAGAAGTCTCTACAAATGGGAAAAAAGGAAGACATTCCTTTTATCATGAGCGTTTGCTTCACCATTACAAGCCAAAAGGAAAGTGACCCTTGAGCATGTGAAGTTAATCACAGACATTTTTGAACACCCAACTGCATTCCCAAATTAAATTTTAGGATGTGGATGCAGAGGATTATATTGTATTCATTATTAAATTTGGGCATGTGACGGCCAGTCAGTCATAAACCCATAATTATCAACTGCCCCAGTTCTGACTTAACCTATTTGAACTGAATATCACCAACTGTACTACACCAAATTAAAGAAGTTGTCCTGTAAACTTCCACTTCTGCTAATCTCCACCGGGCAGGGTGGGGTATGTGCAGTAACACAGACAGAGCAAAGAGGTGGTGGTTAGGATGAGGTGAGAAGCTCTGATCAAACTGTGGTGCCAACTATGTCATAAGTCTTTGTTTAGCCTATGGTGAGGAAAGACCAGTTTCACAGGTTTGTGACGGTACGACAACAAATTATGTGCCGTCACATGACAGACAAATGTATAAACCTGAAGACCAAGTTTCACGGGTTTCAGAAAGGCCTAAAAATGCAGTACACGAATGCACCTTTCACCCTAACAACATGGCCACACTGATGTGTGTATTCGTTGCTTCTAACTTGGATATTTTCCAGGATTCAGGAAGCCCAACAATCTGACTTGTAGAGGAACGTTTCTTCACAAAGAGACTGTACAATGGAGCTGCAGCCCCTCCCCCACGGCACCGTAGTCGGCTATTAAAAGGTGGATAACAAGGCCACTTTTATTCCTTCAACATGTGCCCCGTAAGGATAGATCTTCTAAAAGAAGTCAAAATGCTACATATACTTAAAGAACTTATAGAAAATACAGCACCAAAGATGTGACTACAAGACCCTACAGAATGATTTAACAAGCTTCACTACCGGTTCCAAAATAACGTAATATAACAGTGCGACTGTGAAATATTCCAGGAAATGATCATCAGGTCACCGTAACAACACCTTGCTCTTTGTGTGTCAAAAAAGTCTTGTTCACTATGCCTTAGTAGCCCCAGTGTAAATTTGGCGACCTCTAGTGAAAAGCAATTAACACGACTACTCTTCATGCCCTCCCCTATATCCGTTTTTATTCGCTTTTTTTGTGAAAAGCAACGAAACAAAAACATGTATTAAATATTAAGTGTCTATATGGTTAGGCACCATCTTTATGCACAGACACTGAAGCAGGTTAACACACCGATAAAGACTCATTGTCTTTCTCAGAACCTTTTTGCCACACCTATTTTTCTTTTATTTATTTATTTTTGTGTGTGCGTGGTTTATATATTAAGATTATTTTTTAGTTAAAATGGTTTAAGTGTTATAATGCTTATGTTTTCTATGGTTTGTAGACCAGGGTTTGTATTTTATTTAGCATTTACCTTAGCCAGCTAAAGATATTTTTAATGTGCTATATGAATAGCCAGCTTGACCAGATTTCATAATTACATTTTATTTTAAGCAATTATATGTCTAATAAATTCTATAATCTGTCGTGAGTGAAACATTTAATGCATGCTTTTACACGGTAAAAGGCTGTTGAAAAAAAAAACACACACAAAAAACAAAGAATACTGTTTGATATCAGGATTGCTTTTTAAATATATATTCCAAAAACCATCCTTAGCAAATGGAAAACTAGACTTTAGGCTTAGAGACTTCTCCCCCTACTGCTTTAATAGCCCACACAGAGCAACAATTGTTTACCTTAATTTAAATAACAAATGTGTAAAAGTCAAATGCATACACGCACTCAAACTGTAACCACAGACTGTAGTTCTTGGTGCAAAAAAGGCTTAATCATCCTGCTTTGATGCATTATTTCTGCTGTTCAATACCAAGTTTACCAAAAATATTATGTCAGACTGTATAACTTACACTGCAGTGAATAAAAATACACTTTGTTGCAAAATTACTAATTTCTGTCACAGTATATAGAATATAACAAAACTGAACTGATTATAAACAAATTACAGCACATTGTGGTCAAATCTAAAACTATTGACATGTCTTTAACATTGTTATTTTCAGGCGCAAAATTGTGTTTGATGTAACAAAAATGGAAGATATCTAACCACTGGATACACAGTTAGCCTTATACATTCACATTTGTTTTAAAAGAAGGAAAAGGGAAAAAAAGGACGAACCGAGGGATAACTGTGGACATAAATGGAAGAACGAAGGATGGAAAGAAGATGAGGACAGAAAGTAATGGAACAAAGGAAACAGAAAGACCAGTCAGACCAGCATGGCCACTAAGGATGTTTGCTGATCCTTATATAACCCAACTTCTTAGTTCTGGTAAGGGTATGGTACCACCAGAGGAAGAGTCCTTTCCTGCAGTTATTTGTTATTTAACCATCTGATACAATTTCTTCAAAAAGACTGGCTCGTGTATAAGAGACAAGGCTGATATTAGATCACTATGGCCTAGTAGTAGTACAATAGGACATCTAAGTAATGGAAAATGTCAGTGTGGAGCCTTTACATATTGTTGTTGCCTCTTAAAAATGTCTGTTCATTAAACAGAACATCTAAGGATCAAAGGAAGAGGGAATATTAAGAATAACGTTAATACATTTTGGGCCAAAAGGTCAACCATCTCAACAAACAAACTGTGCCAAGGCTTCTGTAGACAAATGACTAACTGTAGCAGCAAGGAACAGCAAAAAGAGGAAGAAAGAGAATTAGATGAGGAAGAAGAAAAAGAAAGTTAAAAGAAAGCGTGTACAGACAGAAGTCTTCACACATGGACCTGAATGTGTGGCTTTCATTTCGAATATACATGATTGCACTACGTATACAGTTCACTATCAATGAGCTCAGAGACTCATCCAACATGTATACAGATTTAAACAACATTAGTCTGATAGGAGCAAAATGGCTGTAAAAGTGATTTTTTTTTCAGAATCATGCAGGTCCACAGATAGCATGATCAATAAAGAAGAAAATTAATTATTAACTTAACTTCATAATATAATAATAATAATTATTATTTGACAGGCAATGTTTAGCTAGTTTTGGGCTTTAGCTTACCATATTATAGTCTTTTCTGTCTCAGTGTATACTGTTTTTTTAAGCCAGTGTTAATTCTTTAATGAGGTGAGGAGGTCAATGAGGGGGTAAAGTGTAGCTACTTTTCTGTTTTGTGTTTGTCTTGCAGCTTTTGTACATTTTCAAAAGTTCAAGCTATTTTAGCATTATACTTCCAGACACTGTTCTGGGCTTACTATCAGAAACTACGTCTGTACTTTTGCTGGTCTGGTAAACAAACAAACCTGTGGTCTGTGGTCTACCAAGTATGGTTTTTCTCTTTTTTGTTCTCATATCTGTCTGTAAGGGCAAATTACATTTCTTTGTAGTACATGTAAACATTTCCAAATAAATATTTGTATCTGCTCAATAAAGGAGTATTGCATTCGGGTACTTATAAATTAGTAAGTATCTCCAGAGGACCACTTTGCTTTCTAGCATTATATGTATCTTTTTGTATTTCCTAAAATGAAATTATATTTAAATTTACGTAATTAAACTCGAAGGAAAGGGATGTAATGTATATTTCTGTTTTTTTTGGGGGGGAGGGGGGGCGTTTAACAGCCTCACAACAATGTAGACTCTTCGTTTTAAATGTCCGTCCTTACCAATTGTTTTTGTTTAGAGCATTTTCATTGCTTGTGTCATATTTACATCGCCTTTTCAGCGTTCAGAACGTTTTATTTCCATTTGGAGCACTCAATGTACAGTATATTACAACATAGGTCTACCCGGTCCAGCAGCGACCTCTTCTGTATGACAACGTCATTGATCACGTGTTTCCTACTAGGATTCGCTGAAGCTGAAGAAAAGTTTGACAAGCCCGAGTAGTTCCGGAGAGAACTGCAGCAGATCAAGGACGAGCACAAGTAACGGATTCACTTTTATCTAGAAGCTAACTTCATAGGAAACATGGAATCTGTTACCCAGGTAACGTTGCTGAGTATTTACAAGTGCCATTTCGTAAATACCTGCGTGTACGTGGGTGTGTGCGCGTACAGATAATTTTAGCAGGAGAAACAATGTCTCCTTCTTCTAACCCGATGTCTTTTTTGAAACATTATCACCAGAAAGTGCTGACTTCCGGCTTCACTCTTGATTTTGGACCTCTGAAAGAACCTCTGGCATTTATTCGTCTCTTAGAATGGGTGAGTTTCGGGAGCAGTTTATTTGTTTTTCACTCGGTTTTTACCATATGGCCTGTAGCGGGCTGCGCTCTACGCGAGCTCTCTATCTTTATTCTTGGTGGTGAAAAGTACTGGACAAATGGACAGTGTTGATGTTGGTCTTGTGATCGCATTCACGCCCATTGAAGTTATGCAAAGTATCATATTTAAAGGCAGAGTAGCCTCATCGTGTCAGGAGGATAAAAAGGTCAGCCTGCAGCCCACATATTATATGATCAGACTGGGGATTGATGCACGTGGAAACATGATAATCGGTTATTAATAAGTTCCTTCCATGAAAACAGACATAATTCAAGTGAGTTATTGCATCTAAGTATGTTTCGAGTTAGGGTTATTCGTTATCGACAATAAACAACTTCTAATATATGTATAGATTCAGACTTATTAGGTTATTTATCTGGAACACAAGTAGCAATGCTGTTAAGTTAAATAGCTAAGCTATCTTTAAACATCAAGGACACTGTACGATGATTGAGATCCCCCTGATTCACTGTGCAGCCCATGAACTAGTTGTTGCAAGATGGTGTTTGTGATTGGAAGGTTGTGGGTTAGAAATCCCACGATCATCAGGGCTGCTGTGGGTTGAACAAACACCAAACTCCCTACGACTGTTGGGTAAATTGATGTAGTAATACTGTATATCTTAATATCTTAAACAGGCCGTATCAGAAGACAATGACAAGACAAAAAAGGCCGCCAACTGCCGTAAAATTCCAAAAAAAACAAACACTACAGATATCAGCAACAATGATTTTAGACAAATAGCAGAACAGTGTTTAAATGTACAATTGGTGGAAGGAAAAGATTAAACTTTGAGATAAACAGGCCGTATTAAAAGAGGGTAGAAGTTAAAAGACAACAACAGTAGGGCAGTCGTGCAACAGAACGATGCCAACTGCCATTGAAACGGCAAAAGATAATCAGCAGTTGTCAGTAACAACATGGATTAGACAGATAGCAATGCAAGCTTCAAACGTTAATAACATTGTTAATGAAAAAAAAATAGATGTCTAACAGAAGGCAAACTCACTTGACCAGCAGATGGCAGTAATGCAATAAAATAATGAAAACTCCTTTCTAAAATGGAGAATAGTTAATAAAGTACAATCCAATTTAGAGTAAAAAAGGTTTTTGTCTAAACTGGATTTTTTTGTACTTCAAAAACTCTTCAAGAAGTAGTCTTATTAATCTTCCCTTTGTGTTCAATTACAACAGAGCCAGTGGAGGACGTTGTCTTAACAGTGGACCTTTTCACCATGGACTACAATTGTGGTGTCCATTTTTTTTTTACAAACGGTCTATGGTTAATTATTGGTTTATTTGTACATAGACATTCACATGAAATCATTATTAGTGAAAAAGTGATTATTTAGTAATTTATTTATTAATTCAAATGTCGTAAAAATGAATGAATCATTGATCTTTAGTTACAGCCATACTTTGACGCGGTCACATGTGAGCTTTTACTGACCGAGTCTAATTTCCTTTGCCTTTTTCACAGCCGCAGTTATGACACAGGCAATAAGTGTTACTGATAATATTAACAAAGCCCATGGTTGATTTATTACAGTCAGGACTGTGTGTCAGTGGAGTCAGCGCATGCTCTGAATGTATGAAAGACAAACAGGGCTCGGCCACTTTTCATTTGCTCCTTTCCACCTGTGCGTCGCTTGCTGTGACACCTGCCACCAGATGTCACACTAGCACCAGGAACTGTAACCAGGATGTTGGACCAGGATCAGCCACACCCTGTCATTCCCTTTATAGTATTGACAGCAGCAACTAGTTGTCACTAAGTATAGTTCGTGGGTGTAGCAAAGCCTGGTAGGAATGGACACAATCAGAATGAAGAAGAAGAACAAGAACGTGAACTACTTTTCATCGTGACACAGCACACCAATGCACACAACCAAATGTGACCTCTGTTTTTAACCCATCACCAAAGTGAAGAGTGGGCAGTTTTAAGCACCAGGGGAGCAGTGTGTGTGGACGGTGCCATGCTCAGAGCACCTCAGTGGTAACTTGGTAGCTGGTGGACTCGAACCTGAAGCTTTCCGGACCCAAGTCCGCTTCTTTAAACACTAAGCCACCACTGCCCCTATATGCAGTTAGACAGTCAGCAAAGTTTTAGAAATGTCTGTATGCTGCTGCCATAAGGGCAGCATGCCATTCAGTGGCTAAATCAGTAGCTACTTAGCATGTGTACTTTTCCCTAGACATGCTAATGTTAGTTATTTTAGGCTTTCCTTTTGGTAAGTTATCCCTTGGCCAAACCCAGATTTTTTTATATACATGTAAAGCTGAAAAAATATATATATATATAAATAAAAATATTTATAGCAACATCAACCCCCCTGCCCCCACTCCTCAAAAATGTGTTAAGTGTTCATTTAGACGTTTCAAGGCAATTGGCCTGAACCTCCTGTGAATCTGACCCTCATTGTCCATGCTCTGTGATAAAAGGCCATGGGTCATTGGACACACGCATCTGACCAATCATCCTTGATTCAAAATGTCCTCTTGTTCTTGAGTTGTCAAATGTCTAATTGTCTTGTTTCTGACTGCAGATCTTCGCCATATTTGCCTTTGCTACAACTGGAGGCTACACAGGCACAACCAGCGTCAACATCCAGTGTCCAGGGAAGGAAATACAGGAAGTCACTGCAGACTTTAACTACCCCTTCAGGTGAATGTGTGATCTCAGACCTCACTGAATGGAAATTAAAAATTAAAAATGGATTCAGAATTTTCTATTAAATTTGCCCCTTTTAATTACCCTTGGGTTGAGTTGAAAGCAGAGGGTTTTAAAATATTTAGTGAAATGGTGCTGATAGCCAAAGGTTAGTGTAATTACTAAACATTAAATTGGTCTTAAAGTGAATCAAATTCAATTTTTTTTCATATCCTGATTTTTAAGTATAAAGTTATATTTGTCTCTGTACAGGTTGATGAAGCATCCCTACGATGTTCCTGACTGTAAAGTCAATGAGACCACCACCACTGCACACTACCTGTCAGGAGACTATGCTTCTTCAGCGGAGTTCTACGTCTGCGTTGGGGTGTTTGCCTTCCTGTACTGCATTGCCACACTAGTTCTGTACTTGGGTTACCAGCACCTGTATAGAGAAACCAGCCGTGCTCCCATTGTGGTACGTTTATCTAAACTCTCCTTATCTTTCTCGTGTAAAATACTCGTCATCAGCCATGTCCTGCTCTGCTCGTGTTTCAAACTTGTCTCCAGCCATGTCCTGCTCTGCTCGTGTTTCACACGAGGGGGTGGGTCTGCATTCATCAAATTGGGCAATGTTTATATTTTGTATTCATTGGTCATAAGCTGGAGAATTTAAAAGTTTCTGCTTGGTGCTGAATTCCAACAGGAGGTCAGAGAAAGTTCGCTCAGCGGAGCCGTGCTAATGAAACAGGCTCTGCTCTCAAAGCAACTTTCACTCTATGTCGATCTAAAAATACTCTGTAAGGTAGAGTCAGGCTGTGAGTTGACTGCTTTGACTGTTTCCTGTAAGTCTCAGCAAGTAACTCAGCTACAGCTTTCTCCACAAGAACAGATGATAAATGTAGCTTTTGATATTAACAGTGGACAGTCAGTCACAGCAGGACAGTCTGAAGCATACAGCAACCCAGTGCCCACTTGTCTGTGTAGCTGTACACCACTGACACCGTTGCAACGAGACGTTAATTACACATCAAACGGAGTTACTTCCTGGTACTTGTCCCTGTGGTGGAAACCTCCATTCAAATACTAATCTTCTTTTGTTTTCCATCTTTCAGGACCTTCTGCTGACTGCCGCCTTTGCTTTCCTGTGGCTGGTGTCGTCCTCTGCTTGGGCCAAAGGCTTGACTGATGTGAAATACTCCACGAGTCCTTCAACCATTGTTAGTATCCTTGATGTGTGCAAGCAGGAAACCACCAAGTGCACTGCAGGTGCCATGCCTCACATGGGCAGACTCAACGCTTCAGTGGTTAGTTCTTTGTCTTTTCATTTTTTAAAACTTTAAAATTTTTAAATCAGTTTGTTTTGAACTATAGCCTGACATTTTTTTCATTTCCCTATTGTCCTTCTGCAGATTTTTGGATTTCTCAACCTCATCGTGTGGGCTGGCAACTGCTGGTTCATCTTCAAGGAAACACCTTTCCACAAGACAGCCAACCAGCCGGCAAATGTGGAGGGTGGCGTGAGACCAACGTAACTGCTTTTTCGTCTCAATCTCAAAGTGTCAAAAGTAGTTTTCTTGACTCATACTGGTGTTAACGGTTAACAATGGAAAACAAAACTAAAATTAAGGCTTAAAAAATTAAATAAGAATGAAGAAGTAACCAATCCTTATTTGTTGGGAATGTTTGTCATATTAACAGCATTATTAAATTTGAGTTGACTACAACATCAAGACTGCATGATGTTGTTTATTCCAGACAAATGGTCCTTATTTCATTTAGCAGTGCAGATGTCAGTTTATTTAAACAAACTCAGGGTTGGTGTGTTGAAATTTCAAAACATTTAACGGCAAAAAAAAAGTGTTTGTAACACCATAATGAAGACCCTCAAGTTCTTTAAGTGTCATTTTTTTGTTACAAGTTTTGCACTGGAGAAGTAGACTTAAGAGCCTGGTCTTTAACGATCAGTGCACAGCTGACAAAGGTCGCTTTACCAGAGGCAGTACTTCCCCAAAGAACAACAAATATTTGTCTTGTTTGTTTTACACCTTTTTGCAGCTTCTGACCACAGCGATTAGCAGAGTAATTCTTCACACATGAACCTGTCAGGAATCAGGGGCTGCATTATAACCTAGAAAAAAAATTAATCTACACTTGATATGTTAATTAATCATTTAGTCATTAAACTAGACACGTGTGGAACAGAATAAGCATCTTATGTGCCAAAAAAAATCACATTTTCTTCAAACTTTGTATACCAAGATTTTCTATGACTTTTGGGGGGAGATAGGGAGTCTAAACAAAACAGGAGACAAACTTCAGGCTAATCCTAAATCGCTCCAACTAAAAAAGGCAACAAAAATCAGAATCATCAATGATGGCTAATATATGTTTTACAAATAATTCATTTGCTGGCATGAGATTATTTATACTGGTCCAAGTATTTAAATCTGTGTGAAGTAGTGAAATTAACCTAAATGTTGAAGGCAGTGCATGTCTGTTAGAAGCTTGTTAGCTCTAATTTTTTTTTAAATTGTTTTCATTCAATGGCTGTGTAGTAGAATGTGTGACAAATAGTAAGTTTGCCTTTGTTTCTTGGTGTGCTAACACTATTCCATTTAATAAGAAACTGACTGTAACCTAACCAGTTACTGAATTTGTCTAAAGTTTTGCTTTTGCTTGAGCTTTTTCCCTTCAGATTTTTAAGAAAAGGAGAACTGTTCAGCGTGCCACTGGCCAATGTTTTGTTTTCAATGAGACAGCCTTGCTTTTTTCACTTTTTTTTACTTTGCAGCATTGATATTTGGTCACATAGATGACACAGATGTTCTTGCCACAATCAATGGCTCTATTGTGTGGACAATAAATGCAGCATTTATTAAATGGGAGAACTGGATTTGTTGTCATTTGTCTGCTTTCATATTGGATTGTTCCGCTGGTAGCAAATAATTCCATACATAATGCAATAATTGGCGGATGAACCTCAGCTGACAGCCCTCACACACACGGAGCATAAACACTAATGGGTTTAGATCAGTCATGCTGCACAGTCACAGACTGAATGATACAGTTTCTGCCACTGAGTGAATCATTAGCTACACGTTATATATTTTACTAACTGTAAATTATGTAATATTGGGCACAAGTCATGAACAGGCCAATAATTACACAGAAAAAATGTTATTTTTCCTAGTTAAAACATTTAACTTCTTTTAACTAATCAGAATTTAGTCATTTATCAGACGCCATTTTGTTTAAAGAACATTGTGTTATGTTGTCATGTGTTCTGTCTACTTCTGCGTTAATTGGGATGGAATAGTTTTGACAAGGGCAGGGTATTTTTTTAAAGGTGCAAATACTTTAATTAATATCTTCAATTAATATCCAGAAATGGCCCAAACCTGAACCAGCTGCAAATGAACACTCACTTATTAAACTCTCAAGATAGTTCTGTGCCATTTTAGATTTCATTTTGTTATTCTGCAGAGCAAAGAAGGCTCATGTCATGCCACAAATCACCCAATTTTAAAATATAATATAAAATATTGACCAAAAGTACACAATGTACTTTTATAGAAGATGTAAATAAACACAACAGCAACGATGACCTGCTCACATATCTATATTTTATGACTAAAAATGCATTTGAAAAACTAAAATTAAATGTTTTGTAAAAGTCCAGTCAGTCTTTATTTTATTTACATAACTAATTGTTTCTAGCAAATTGTGCAAATGTGTAAGACTAAATATGTTTAATGTTCAACAGAAACCAATTAAATAATGGTTAGTTGAACAGCATCAACTGTGGTACACGTTTTGGGAAGTTTCGACCCCCTCGGCGTACTTGTTCTTAGTTGTCCACGTAAATATTCTGTATATATCCTGGTAAACGGCGCCACCCCATGGCGGCGGTCTTCTAACTCAGAATTGATGCGCGTGAACTGAGCGTCGCCTCGTGAACGCGGAAGAGCAGCAATGGCCGCTTTGAATCGGCGAATTCCCAATCTGGACGATTTTGTCGGATTAAACTGGAGTTGTTGGGTTGACAGGGTGAATATTTTACCATCTGACGGTGAGTTTCACTCCCTGCCTCCGGTGCGTTGTGTCCATCCTGTCGTAGAATCCACTTCCTGTGATATTTTTGCTGTTTTGTTCAGCTTTGAGAGCGACATAAAGAGCTCAACCCAAACAAAAGACGCGCTGGGTCCTAGCGCAGGGACGGTTTTAAAACTCCCCTCACCGGCAATAAACTAAAAAACAAAAATTTAAGTTACACTTTTCTTCAAACAAGTTGCAATGTTGTGACACATTTCTTTAAGTACGACGTGTGCGGCTCTCGTGTGTTTATGTAAGTTCATCCTTTACTTTAGCCAATCAGCCAGTGTCACACATAAACAACACGGTTTAAGCAGGATTGATCTCTAAGAACATAGATTCTCACCGGCAAAACATCCGATGGACAACATCCAGAGTGAAAGTTCTGGAAGGGTTTAGGTTTGGAAACAATCCAATTTGGACTCGGGTCTAATTGTACCATAGGAAATTAACGAGGTTGATTTTTGAGTGATTTTTACATAACACCTGACCTCACTTCAGTATTCAGTCATAATAATGTGTGTATTATCTGTACTGTCATTATTCCAATGCAGTAATGCTGAGTCTCTGAACAAATGTGTCTTTTTTTCAGCTGGGTCTGATACTGAAGATGGAAGCAAATATGGGAAGAAAAGAACTGAGACCATGACCCTCAGGAAAGAAGGTGAAAACTACCCTTCTCTTTGATAGACCTTATCTATACCACCAACTACCATGTATTCTGCCTGCCACACAGCACAGCATCTGTTGCCATCTGACTCTACACCAACCTTCTTTATGTCCTCTTTCTCCAACATTCATGATTTCTCTCGGGGGTCGTTGTTTCTTGCCTGGCAGCAATTTTCTTTATTTTCTGTCCAATTTATAAATGTATTTATGCATGTGGCCTTTTCATTGGTTCCTTGCAGTTCCCCATACGTGGGCCAGGGTCAGCTGGTTGCCCTCTGTAGCCTAGAAAATCTGCCCACTTTCTTCTGAAGTAGCACAATTCACTCATGTGGAGCTCACAGGAGCTGCCTGCGCCAGGCACTGACTATTTTTGGCATCTCCTCAGCCTATAAAAATATTAATATATTTTCTTTTCTCTCTTTTGAATCCTTTTTTTTTTACAGATATGCATATATTCGGTCACTGCCCTGCACAGGATGATTTTTACCTGGTGGTGTGCAGTCACTGTGGTCAGGTGGTGAAGCCGGAAGCCTTTGAGAAACACTGCGAGAGGCGTCACGGTCAGCTCACGAAGATGTGTGGTCAGTCATCAACCTTGGCTCCGCAGCAGCGGCCTCGCCCTGGCCAGTCTCCTGTCAAGTTTCCCTTCTCTAGGGAAAGGCAGAGGGACGGTGCACATGGTGAAGATCGAGCTGCATCTGCTGCATCGTTACCTGTCCACCAGCACAGGCCCACTAAGGCCCAGAGGGAGGCTGTGAGGTACTGTTTATGGTTATTCACCTCATGACATCACAAGAAGTAAGAAGTTTGATCATTCACAAGATGCTGTTTTTGTTTGGTCTGGATTTCATAAAGGCGTCAGGGTTAGGGAGTGTGATAAGTCATTCAGATCCTCTTTCCCCTCAGCAGTTGAGCTACTATCCATAAAACTATACAATAGAGCTTATATTTTATTTATAATTATTTCTAATATTATTTTCATCTACTCTATCCTGAATTTATTTATTTATTATTTTATTTAGAATTGTTTGAATTAAAATGACCTTCTGTTAATGAGAAACAATCTGGCTGTTGGAGTCCTCACGGTTGTTGTTGATCAGGCTCACACACAATGAAACAAAACTAAAGCTCTCATGCTTGTATCAATGTGTTAAAACCATTATCAGGACAATCGTAGTAGAAACTTTAGCTTGACATGTCACAGTCCTGAATCACTCAATCACACCTGACATGTCCAACACCTCTTCAGTTTGCCTTCAGTGGAGAAGTTCCCTCAGGAGAAGCCCTCACTCCTACATCACTCCACATCCATAACTCGACCCCGGGCCCCTCCATGGCACTCTGGACCCCTGCCTCCGGGCTCTTCATCCAATCCTACACCAGAAAGACCACCTGTCCAGAAGGCCACTGTTGGACAGACCAGTGAGTCTCATAGTCCTCTTCGGGGAACGAAGACCTACAGCCGCACTAATAAAAACAAAGACAGTAAGTTGTTTTTTTAACCTCTTCTGCTTTTCTGTCACTTCTAAATGATTTCTGTTCATCATAAATCAAAAATGTTCAGTTAATCTTTTCAAGAATTCTTACAGTTGTAACTAGATCAGGGGTGGAAGAGTCGTGTTAACTGACTGTCCTGCTGTTTCTCACTGACTACTGTGTTTGCTTTTTTACCATAGAGAAAGAATGTGACCTGAATAAACACAACAGAGTTCTGGATCCAGAAAAGAAGAAGCCCAGCAGCCTGGAGCCTGTATGCAATGTAAACACCCCGAGGCTGTTATTAGTGTCACCAGCCTTTTACATACATATAAACATTTTGTGTGCATTTGCTGTTTGTTGCCAAAACATGGGAGGTTCGGACCACAGTTTAGGATGTAACATTTGTCTGTCTTCACAGACTGATGCCCTCCACCAGCAGCAGAAAACACCAACGAAGGCTAAACCTTCTGATCATTTGGCAGCAGAACAGAGAAGAGTCTCCTCGGGGCAGCAGCCTCCTGTCAAATCCAAAGAGAAGGAGCAACATGTGGAAGTGTTTGATGAGAAAGTTACTCAGGGCAGTAGACACAACTGCCACGTGCTAGGGTATGGTGTAGTGTCTTTAGGCTAAGTGAAGCTAATTGTATCAACTCTGTGTGATATTCCATTTTTAATTTTTTTCCGTCTTGTGTCCTTTCCTAAAGCAGGGCTAATGAATCAGCAGAAAACCTACCAGAAGAGAAGGTTGACAGCCCTGTGGCAGTGGAGGTGAAGCCTCCATATCCTTTTAATCACAGCCTGCTGTCAAGTGAGGAAAGTGATGCAGACGAGCAGGAGGAAAACACAGACCTGCCAGCTTCGACCTGGCATCCAAAACCTCTTGGGGTGAGTGTAATTCAAGCTATGATCTCCGTGGCTGCAACATGAGGTGGGTTTTAGCAGAGCATCTCCAGCTGTTAAGACTTGGCTCTCGATCTGCAGCTATGCACTTTTGGATGTCGTACACTGGGCTGCAGCATCTTTACCTTTGACCGCCGTTTACATCACCTGCGGATTGCCCTCAGTGCCATGTTGGAGCAGCACATCAACTCACACTTGTGGAAGTGAGTGTCATCACCTCTGGGATATTCTCAGAGCACAATGTGGCAAAAACATTTGAATAATAATCTTTTGTTTTTTTTAAGTTCTAAATTTGTGATCATAGTCAAAATCAGTATCAAAATCAAACCAGTGGATTGGCTGGTGTCTTTTGAGTTTGTCAAATCGCTCATTTAACTTTTACCTTTGCTGCCTTACAGGAAAATGCCTCCAGCAGCTTCAGGTCTCAGGTCTTCTCATGTCACATCACCACCTGTCAGAAATGCATCAAAACCCTTGAAATCTGCCGGCTCCCTTAAGCGTGACTGTACCTCACAGGGACAACTGGAAACCAAAAGCAGTCATCACAACTCTCAAAGTACCAAACCACCTACGTCCACCTCCGCCGCAAGTCTGGAGTCTGCCCAGTGGTGCAGCACCATGAGACGGCCCAGCAAAGCTCAGCTGAAGGAGGTGGTTCTTGTGCAGGATGGAAGTTCAGCAGTTCAGAAAGCTAGCAGGCTGCCACACAGCAGTGAGGACAAATCCTCCAGATACTTCAGGGATTCTCCTCTGACTGAGAAGGGACAGCAGAAAAGCCCTTCCTGTTCAGGATCGGCCGGAAAAAAGCAGCAGCGTCATTCGCTGCCACTACAGCCGACAAAGAGACACTTGCCGGGTTTGGAGAAGCAACCTCCTCTGTCTGCAAAAACTGAGCATAAAGTGGTGAGTAATGATCACCAAAGTCCTGGACAGAAGCGTAAATGGAACAACGAGTCCTCACCCGTGAGCTCCTCCCTACCCAGAACTTCCAAATGCAAGCGCCTGTCCACCTCGTCCACTTCTAGCCTTCTTACCTGGAAGGGAGAGAATATTGAGGACGTGCTATCATGGGACCAGGACAAAAGGTCCAATTCCTAAAGACGGAGTCAACTTTACTGGCTTACAGTATTCATGCCATAGTCTTTGTACCAGTTTAGTAGTTTTTTTTTTAAAACAAACATTTTTTTTGTAAATGTGAGTCAGTCTGTCCACATTTATTTATGTTTTCACATTTATATGCACAGGTATCAGGAAGTGTATTATTATTTGTGTTTTTTTTCTGAATATTTTTCTATAAGACTATGTCTCAATTAATTACCTGTGTAAGAGCATAAAATACCTCAAAATACTGTATGCTGCTAAAAAAAAATCTTGAATCCTTGCAGTCCTGTCCTTATTTCTTTGATTTTGTTCTTGTGGTGTTTTTTCCTGCAGCTTGGATTATTGTTCGTTAATAATTTGCACAATGTTAGCACTGCATTAATTAGCTGATTATTCCATAATGAGATTACAAAATTATTTGACTTGACAATTGAGGACATGAAAAAAGAATAGTATCAAAGAAATGTCTTAGTACACTCCCTAGTTAACCTCTAGATGGCACTGTGTCATTAATGAATGAATGTCTTGTTTCAAAGTCTAGTGCTTATTTACAAAATTCGTTCAAATAATATTTAAGATCTCAGTCTCTGCCTACTCTAGATCTACAAATGATATCATTCTGACATTTACCTTTGATGTCAGACTTATTTAAAGCTGCAATGGTTGCTTCCTTATTCGTACTCACAATTATATCTAAAAACATACAAAAACAAAACTGTATTCCCTCTGCTGATAAAACTTTGATATTATACATATATAAAACCATTAGGTTCTTTATTTTTATGCTACAAGATTTCAAAGGCAACAAAACCTTATTTCTATTTTTTATTTTTATGGCTTATTTCGTTTATTTAATAGACAGCAGGAAAATGGAGGCAGAACACAGATTTGACTTTTGGTGATTTATTAGATCAAATGAATCTGCTATCATTGCTTTTGAATTCTTACTAGGATGTACATACTCTGCGATCAGAAAAGCTCTAAAGTGTATCATGCAAAGTCATTCCATTAGCCGTGAGACCTTTCAAGATGTTATGGCAGTGACCCACAGGCCCATCTGGGAAGCACTGGTCAATAAACACTGTGCTTGTAATGCTGTTAAAAGCTCCCTTCTGGTCCCATAGTTGCTCACTGTAAGAGCAGGGAGCTTTTACTGTTACTGTAATTGCTACTGCACAGTCGACTGAAATGAGACAGATGTGTGTCAGGCAGTGGGGGGAGGTCCTTTCTCTTGCTGATGATTCATAGTTTAACGTGCCATTAATGAAGATACACTTGTGATTTGCAATAGAACATTTGTGTTACCTCGACTTGTATAAAATTAGGTTTTCAGTTTCTATTAAATTAGAGCCTTCACATTACAATACCTTGAGAAGATTAATTTCCCCTCTATGGTGATTAAACCCATTTGAAGAGGTCTTATCATTTCTGTTGGAAAACTGATTTCATCACCTTTCCACAAAGAAGGCTTTCTCGATGTAATTTTACGGCTTTATAACCAAAGGGGCCACACGCTGTAGTCACTGCCTGCTGTGATCCACCCTGTCCACTGATATCTAGACGTTCATCCTTTGAATATAATTTCATTTGAAACATCACGTAACCTTGAGCAGAGTGAAGTGTAAATAATCCTCTTTTGTTTTAAAAAACTAAATCCTACCCCCTATCCCCTTAAAATATAAATTTGTCAAGACTTAAACAGCTAACAATGGCGAACGGAATGAAAAGAAGACCAACGACATCGCAGTACACAAGGATATGGTCAATACACTGATAGAACATAGCAGATAACAGCTAATTAATACTGAGCACAGAAAAGTCTTATTACACATATACAGTATGTTGTTTATATAGATATATTATATATAAATATAAAGACAGAGAGAGAGATGAAGGCAGATTTGTTTCGGAGGGTACACACCACTGTTCTTCTCTATCTTCAGATGCATCAGGACTACATTTTCTCTGTACATAAATGCAACTTGTAATTTCAATGACAATCCACAAAAGACCATCCATTAGCTATGACAAATTTAACTGGATCCACATAGGGTCACTAGGAGGCAAACAAGGCGTTAAACCCTTTAATGTGTGCCGTCGAACAGCTGTAGCGTGTGTGTACAAATGTAGCTGTTAGTACAGATTCTGTGACTCACATTTATCAGCTTCACTGGCCTCCAAATAAATCATAGAAGAATCTCAACGTAGGCAACAAAACACACAACATGTTTAACTACAGAAGGCAAAAGACGGAACACTTCACACGGGGCAGTTCCTTCAGTGACCTCTGCCTATCAGCAGTGGAGGGCTACACACCAGTGTTTGTGCATCATCACACTGTTATTATTATTTTTTTTGCTGCTCTGTATTTCTCCACCTGGTATTCCTGTGTGTGACAGTGGAATGATTCACACACCACAGCGAGTGTGACTTCCTTTTTCACCCACACAGAAGATGCAGCATCCCCAGTTGAAAAATGTAAATATTCCTTCTATTTTGTCATGTGTTCCAAGGTGTGTGGGTGAAATCCCATTTCTCATTTAGCCCTCTGCTCCTTTTCCTTCTTTAAAATAAAGCATTTTTTTTCTTCTTTACCTATGAAAAACCACACCCCTTTACCAACATTGTATGTTGTCTGATGTCACTGGTGTGACAACATCCTCTTGTTAGCTAATGCTATATTGCTAATTCGATAAAGATTTTTACACCGGTCTGCAGCAGAGCAAACACAGGTCAGAAAACATCTTTTTATTATTTCTTGTAGTTTCTGTAGCTGTTACTTTTTGTGTCGCCAGCTTTAGCCTAGCTTGCTAACAATAGTTTGACTGATTGGTTTGAACTAGGCCTCCAGTGAATGTGGAGGTTTGTCCCTAGATTTAGACAGTGCTGTGCCTCACATATATGACAAACTAGCTACGAAAATATTGAAACCCTTTGCCTTTGGTTACAGTTGATTTGACAGGTAGCCATGTTATTCTAATGACTAGACTAGAAAGGAAAACTAGTACAAATGGAACCTGCTTCAGCTGTAGCTGTAGCTGTAGCAGTAACAGAGGCATCGATGAGAAATGGTTGGTGGAGGGTCTTATGTCCCTTCTTCACGTCATCCGTGGGGGTCATTCTCTTTTTTCCCTGATGAATCACTCCTGTTTGAACATGCTTTGTTCAAAATGGCCACTATCTCCTCAGCAGATGACTAGAACACCTTAACATTGACCGTCCGACCCTATCTGCAGTTTGCACAACCTGAGCTGTTCCTGTTACCCTTTCATCCTGTCCATTCTTTCTTTCACACACTGAAACACCTCATATCGTCATCTCTGCCTGCTCCTCCTCCTCCTGTGTTTGCTGTTGCTTCTGCGGACTTGATTCTATGTCTCTCTCACGCCGACCTCAACCTCCTCGGCTCCCTTCCTTAACGTAGGTCTGTGATTTACATTGCTTATCAATTATCGATTAAGATTGCGGTTCCTGGAAAACTTCCCGGCTGAGTGATTGATCGGATGTTAAATGAAAGCTCCGGGCGTTTTCCCCTGATAAACAAACGAGGACCTGCTAAAAGGGCATTGCATCCATTGGTCTGAGTGAACGCTTGCTTTTAAACGTACGTAAGAGCTGTGCCTTAATGAGAGAGGTACACAAACAGAGCAAACAGAAGGGAGAGGAGAAGAACACCCGGCCTCGTGGTGAGCTGTTTATGATGACACACCTCAGAGAGACAAAGACGTGGAAAACAGAGGGAAAACCACATCCCGTCAACAGATGACATTAGCTTTTACACCGGCCTTTGTTGCACTCTGCTTCGACTCCGTCTAACACAAACAACAACACCATTAAATGCGACCAATGTGTTTGTTTACGCACAGACACTGGCTCTTTCTGAACATGATAATAATGTAATATGACTGAATGGGGTTTTCCCATGTGTTACACAAGGTTCCATTAGCTACAGTAAGATCTTTCTTCCTCCTTCTGTGCATTAACCAACTTTTATTACGTTCTTCTAATACTGACCTACTGACACGACAGACATCACTCTCTATTCACCAGGCTACATTTTAAGTGTTAAATGTTAAACTCATATATCACATGGTCAAATAAGGTGCACATTCTAAATCCAGGAAATATTTAAATAAACTAAGGCTGGCAGCTGGTGACATGGGCTGGTTATTGTAAATCCTGTTAATGTGACAGAGAGAAATTCTCACTCCAAAACATGAATCACGCCTGGAGACATAAATAAAATCTCCTTGGGAAAAAGTCAAATGTTATCAGCCCATGTTAACGGTGTGAGTACAAAGCTTTAGCCATAAGATCTGGCAATGCTCAGAATTTTACAAAATCTGGAAAAAAACGTCTTTAAGAGAACCACCCCTAACAGCTGATAGAACCATTGCATCGCTGATATATTGTTGAAGTAATACTTTAAGCCCACAAACACATTGTGCTGAAAATAAGTTCTCCAAATGGTATAATGTATATTTTATATTTATATTTCATTATATAGTGGGAGGAGACAGATTTAATAATCTGTGTTTTATGAGCAGGCATTTCTCATAAAAATAATAAAATCCTTTTGGTCATTTCAAACACCAGAAGTATCTGGGGTTTGTGTTCATGCTGCCCTCTGCTCCGGTTCCGTGTTGTTGGTCAGAAAACTAAATTAAAAAACAAGTAGTGACCGTGTGGCAGTATTGATACTCCCTCCTTGTTATAAACGACTTGATGTTCAATAAATACTGACTTTCTCCGCATCTCTCACCCTGATGGGCCTTTCATGTTGTTGTGTTATTGGATATTTGGACATTTTTCCGTTTTCGTTTTATGGTTATTTATAGCCTCCAGACAACATCTTGTCTTGGTCTCTGTCCCTGCCTCTGTAGAGGACATTGGGCTAAATGCACATATGTTTTAATGTTTAAATGTCAGATGCAATGTAATTTTAGTTTGTGTGCTAAATATAAACATGAGCCAGGCATTCCCTTCATATATATGTATACCGTATTTACAGTATATTTTCCAAATCAATCTGTGCCTGTGCCGTATGCATTCCCCCCACTTGCTTTATTCAATTCATGGCTTCCTGAGTGCTAATAACAACAACAAGTCTACGTTCTACTTTTAAGACGTCAGCATTTACTGTGTCCTTACAAACACTGCCGCTCCTTCACAGTATAATTATTAAGTGCTACAGATTAAAATGCTGGAAAAGTCCTGCTCATTGTCACGGACAACAAAACAGTTTTTAAATCCCTTTTAAGATCCTACATTTTAACATGCCAGCAACTACAGACAAACATTCATTGCCTGTGTTCTCCCACAACGTCAGTCACAGTTTACATGAACTAAAACATGGCTCACGTAGTACCATACACATCCAGTAATGTGGAATCCACTGTGTCGTCTCAGACCACCATGGGAGTGTCTGAGAAGACGGAGCTGATGGACTCTGCTACTGACTTCTTCCTCTTCCCCTTCATTAAAGAACCAGCCTCAGCATCCAGGTCCTCGTCCTCGTTCCCGCTGCGGTTTAGCTTCCCGTTCTGGCCTTGGAGGTCCTTCGAGTCTATGAATGCCACGTGCTTGTTCAGGTCAGCTTTGAGTGCAGGTTCCTCATGGGTCGGTGTCACGCTGAGCATGGAGGAGTGAATACTGTCCTCACCACGAGTCTTGCCTTTGCTGGGGCAGCAGAAACAGCGACACGGCGTCAGATAAAGGTACATTATCACCAGCACTACGCTAGCCAGACAGCCGACCAGGGTGGTGTATGCTGTGTTCAAAGTCTCTCCAGTCCCGTGTATGGTGAAGTTATGAACCTTCAGAACCACATAGATCGTCTCATTAAAGGCCTCGCTCATCGCAAAGCAAGTGTAGGTCCCAGCATCCTCGGATCTCACTGAACTGATCTCCAAACTGCCATCACGCAAGACTTTCGCCGTCTGGTTGCCTCCATTAATTACCGGCACGTTGCCAGGCATTGTCCAGGTCTTTGACATGTTCCTCTGTTTGGTGTCACAGTCCAGGGTGAGGGTCTGTTCCAGAAAAGCCTCCTCATCTTCTTCCTTGAATGTGCTGCAGTTCATGTAGTCACCACTGAGATCGAAAACAGCTACCTGTGTTTTCTGAGGACCGGGCAGAATACACGTGTAATCGTCCTTGAAGTCAACAGCAGAGTTGAGTTTGCGAAGATACCAGTGGGCTAAGAGTGTGTAGAGATCACAGTGACATACCAAAGGGTTATTGTGAAAGTAAAGGCCATTTTTTATCCAGGCAGGCAGTACCTTTAGCTCCTCAATGGGCAATGCCTTGATCTTGTTGGAGGACACGTCCAGCAGACTCAGCGTCTCCATACGGGATTTTTCCTTGACTAGCTCCAAGGGAAAGCGAGAGATGTGGTTCTGACTAAGGTAGAGCTTCTGCAGTTTCATGACGCCGACGAAAGCTGAGCGGTCGATTTGTGAAATTTGGTTGTGGTAGAGCAGTAGAACCTCCAGTTCGGCCAAAGGCTCAAATATGAACTCGTCCAGCTGCCGTAAGCTGTTTGAGGACAGGTCTAAGAAGCGCAGCTTCTTCACATTAATGAACGCCTCTGAAGACAGGAAATAGAGACCGTTATGGCTGAGGAGGAGGTTATGGAGCTTAGGAAGACTGACTGTGGTCCACTCAGCTCGAAGCTTCGTTATCTCATTGTAGCTTAGATCCAGTACGCCGGTGTAGTGTGGAATCCCAGTTGGGACGAGGGTCAGATTCATCTTGGAGCAGCTGACGATGTTTGAGGCGCAGATGCATTTCCTATGACAGTTGAGTGTCGACCCTGCTGCCTGTGGAAGCCAGAGGGCAGCTAGGCAGATGATGAGGGGGAGGGTCCACCTACGTCTGTGAGGTAATGCTTCCAACAGGTGGTCACCTGTTCTGTAGGAAGGCTGCAACATTCTAGCAGTTGGTCTAAATCCTGAAGACAGTGACTACAGCTCCATTCTCAGGCATTGAAGGGCAACTGGTGGACGGTCAGGCATTTCTCACTAAAGTCTGGGGGAAAAACAAGGCAGATAGAAGAATCATTACTACAATACAACTTTAATGCAAACACTTTAATGCAAGTGTTGCCCACACCTGGAAAACAATATCAGCAGGTTCTAGCTAAAAAAGCCCAGCAACAAATCCAGCATCAGGGGTCTTTTCTTTTACCCAGATCGTCCATTGGTCACTGTGCAGAGGTTTCTGGTTTGATTCCACCTAGTCCTAAATACCAGGTTGGGCTTTGACAAAAAGAGCATCTGGTGCAAAAAGCTGTGCAATAGATTCTATAATATAATAAAGATAAAGCTATATTTATTATACCTGGATCATCATTGTTGAATCTAATTATAAACCTTTATTTTTTTATTTTACAACACACCCTGTAGTGGTGAAACAATGGTTGTAACAGTGGTATTGCTGACCTTTGACATCGAATAATAGTTTGTGAGAATTAGAAGAAAAAAAAAAGAAACTCATTGATTTTAGTGGAAAAGTACTTAGTATGTAGGAGTACTCTGAGTGAAAATGTCCTACCTTAAATATTCTACTCCAAGTTCCAAAGGCTACGGAAAACTGTTATCAGTTGTATTTCACTTGTCATGACTAAAACACACCACTGAATATAATTTCTGTATTTTCATATTCTACTTTGGACATAACATAGACGGCCACTGTAGCAGTGCTCTCCAAAATCTAATGGTGGCCTCAGACCTTTGCACGGTACTGCACAGTAGCAGTATATTCCAGGAAACCTCCCGAGGTATTTGCTCCCTCATCAGCTACGACAACATGCAGAATCACTGGTCAGAGCTCCTTCACTCACAGCTACACTGTTCACAAACTCCACTCTGCTGTTTGGCACGATGCGCATCATCCTTTAAAACAAACAGACACGAACACAACCGGTCCTCGTGTGCATGCTCACGCCTGGAAGACACGCATCCAATTTCCTCTTCTCTCCATGTCCCTCTTTGACTCCCTGTATCCCTGACACGGCCACGAAAACACACGCAGAAAATGGTTGAATCCAACGACAGGAAGAGACAATCAGGCGGATCTGTCCTTCTTGCCCCTTTTCCTCACGCGTCCTTGTGCATTTGTCCGAATGTTACACTGAACCGATCAGCTCTGCTGAAGGAGGGCAGCGAGGGGGGCAAACAAACAAGCACAAGGTGGAAACGTGATGCAGACGAACCTACCTTGCAAGGCAAACCGCGACGCAACGTTCTTGAAAGCAGCCTCTCCTGTGTTTACAGTGTCGCTGCTGCGCACAGATGTTCTTGTTTGGCTGAGGGCGAGTGCGCAGCTGAGGACGACAGCAGCAGGGAGGATGCAGCAGCAGGAGGAGGGAGGAGGGAGGAGGGAGGAGAGCGCTGTCCTCCTCAAATCCTCTCTGCATCCAGTACCAGCTGCAAATAAATTCACTGACGGGTTACGTAAAGAGGAGACGGCGCGCGTAATTCTGGCTCCGCAGAACCGCTGATGAAGCACTGTTGATTTTAGGGGAACACACCGACCTGACGCCCCGCCTTTACACATTCGAAGCAGCTCTGGTTCTCATCAGCAGCCGTAGAGATAATTGAGAATGAGCGGTCTGTAGCTGGTCAGATCCCCAGTGGCTCCTCATTGTGTCTGTGCAGTGATGAAGCAGCAGTGCTGCTGCTGCTGCTGCTGCTGCTGCTGCTGATGGAGAATATGGTGAAAGTGTAACTATAATCCAAAAACGTGGTGTTTACCCAAAGCTTAGATGCACAAATAACCTCCCCATGGTTAGCCTTCCACAGTGAGCCTGTTTCTGTCTTTTATGGCTGCAGGCTGAAATGTAATTATAGCCCTGCACTATTATCATCGGGATAATTATAGTCAATTGTTGGTAAGACCATGTCATTATTTCTCTTAAACATCTTTCACTTTGTACTCTACTGCTCCCAGGTGAGGGAATATCGATCCAGGCTGACCTCTGACCTCTCTGAGTACCATCAAACTGAAGCTCCACCTCCTGACTGACACACAGAGACACAACACTACAGGCACTTCTTTTCCTGGCTGTTCCCATTTGAGTGATCAGAATGAATAACGATTAATTGTGATGAATCCAGTGCTACCCCTTTAATTAATCAGATTAAAAATGTTAATGTGCTGACAGCCTGATTGATGTAGTCACCTGAAAAAGTCTAAATTATTATATTAAAAAAATAGCCTACGATTTCCTTGCACATGCTTAAACCTCGGGGTCTCCATAACCTGTGTTGGTGAAGACTTGTGACCTTGGTTAGACCTGTCGTTAACCCATTAATTAAACAATAAGGCACTTACACACATGTTATAAGTAATATCATACTATTTCATTGTCATAACTGCAGTGACCACAGATGTGGACTCTTCTTGAGGCTGCAACATTTATGAAGGTTTCTTAGTTGTTGATTAGCTCAGAGTCCAGCTCCACATTTTATTGTTTACATCGAGCCATTACTCTTTGTGTGTGACTGCTTTAGGCTGGTGTCTGCCAAGCTGCTAGGCTTCCCAACAATACTGTTAATGCTCTCTGGGCACACACTGTTTATGACTTTGATTATGTCTCTTTATGGGAGCCCACTGAGCAGGGAAAACCTCATCATCCTCCTCCTTTTCTGCTCGAGTAATTCCACCCACCTGCTGGTTTATTGAAAAATGTTCAAGTTTTCCGCATTTTTCACAGATTGGTGAGCCCTTTGGCAAAGCTGTGAGAGGCTGTGCATTGCCAGTAACATGCTCCACCAATGTGGCCTCCTACACAGAATCATTTATTAAATGGAGATTATAGTAATGGGGAGCATGACAAATATTTTATAATAGTAGATGGAATGTTTCCCTAGTCTTAATCACCACTGAAATATGAATCACATTTACACATTCACTACTGTCTTTCCCTTGTCCTTTGTTTTTGTTGCTGTATATATACAGTATATATATTTGTATATATATATTTATATGTATATATGTATATATATGTATAAATGTATTAGGGACGTCTGATATTATCGGCCCGATATTAGCATAATTACATTATACTTGTAAGAATCATTATCGGCTTTGCCTCCGTTAATGAAAACCTGGCAACCCAATGCCTGGTTTTTGCCAAATATTCTGGAATCGCTTGTGGGGTATTAAGACATTTGCTGCAGTTTTGGGTACAAACGCATGTATATGTATGTATATATTGTATTGAATCAGAAATTAAGTGTTTGGACAATGTCAGCATATTGGATGTTTGAAAAAAGTTATTGGATATCCCTAATATATATATATATATATTCTGCAGTACCACTGTGGACCCGTAGGGGCTGCACCCACCTGCTTTAACTGTACAGTCCTTAGACAGAGTCCTAAGTTCTGATTTGGTGTAATGACTGTGAAACCTCTGTCAGACAAGAGCACGGTCACACATTGACTCTGATAAGATGGAGCTGGAAGTGATTAATGTGCTGTTTCAACTCCACTACCTCCTGTGATAGGGAGAGCGTTGCCTGGCAACTGCCTGTGGCCTTTCATTGACTGTTTTGTCTACGTGGTAAATGTGGTGGCTTGGCTGCCCAGCGTTGTTCTCTGTCCACCTGATCAGAACGTCTTTTCGTCTTTCATTTTAAAGATAACATAATCTAGGTCAGTAAAAAAAAAACGAAGCTAAAAACGTTAGCAGAAAATGTTAACGACAGCTAGCAGTTTGGTAAGAAAGGTGGCAAAGATAACTTTTCAAGATCTTAATTGAGACTGTCACTTTTATTTCAGCTCAAGAGTATTTAAGATTAAAATTGTTTCTGGCTTATTTTCCGGTAATATTCGGAAAATCTTGTTCATTTCAGGTGACATTTGTCCATGTTTGAGAAGTTCTTTATATCAGACTTCAGAACTGTTCCTGTTCAGAACTGTATGTCCTTGATTTAGTTACATGAATATATTAACAAAACACTTGATGAGTCATTTGTTTATGCTGCAGATTTTATCGAGACCTCTACTCATTTATCAGGCTGCATTACATATTTACAGCATCTGAATAAGGAAGCTAAAGCAACAATATTTAAATCAGTCCAACGGCAGAATGTCAACGGCGTCATCGCAACTTGTTTTTTTTACAGTATCACCTTCCACTGGCTGCAAACAAAATCTGAAACCCGTTAAGGCTAGAGTTCCATCGAATAGAAAAGTGTTCTGTCTGCGCTTGCCGAGTGTTGGTTCCCATGGAAACACCTTTATTTATGTGTTTAATCAGAATTGTGTGGATGGAACAAGGTCAGTGATAGTAATAACCTCTCACAGCAAGTTCAGAAACTAGAGCGGGATTCAGGTCCCAATATCTTAGCATTTTGTGTCTGAAATTTCCATTGAATGTTAGCGTTAGCCAAGAGATTTTGTGCCAAATGTATAGGGAGGAAATTTTAGCTAAACAATTAGCCAAAAGAAAACTATATCTGAGCAAGGACTAAGAACACTTAGTCCAAGAAATGTAACTGAAGGAATCACAAATGAAGCTTAAAGAATAAAACAAAATAACAAATAAAGCATTTATAATATTTAATTTAAAAAGCAATAACGTCCTAAATCTCAGATAATAGCTTAATTCAAACGTCACACAATAACATTGCTTAAAGTCAACTACAGTTAATAATAAGGCAAAACTAAAAGCCAGCCAAACATAGAACTAGACTTTAGCTAAAGACCCTGTATAAAAAGGCTAAAAGCAAAAAAACCCAAACCAAACCTCAATGGCAGCTCTGTAAAACTGCACACATCTATAATATTGTTTTCATCCGAGCGAAGCCATTTTAAACATGCCATTTCTTATGAAATGCTGTGTTAGCAGGCTGTGCTCACAGCCCTGTTCACCATGATGGCTGAGACCACTGTGCTACATCACAGAGACATGGCTGCAGGTGTCAGCCCACACTGACACACTGTGTGCGTTAACAATGGATGTAATCAGGAGGCCGGGCACACATTGTTTTCTCTCACTAATTAACGCTGTCACTAATGCACTTACAAGCTTCGTTGTAATAAAAAGCCATAATTAGGACTGTCAGGTGAAAGTGTCAGGCCTGATCCTATTATTGATGTTTCTAATAATAAATGTGCAGGCACATGTGCCATAAATATACAGACTAAATGATGAAATACATGCAGAATGAATATACATACGACAGCTTAAACACGCTGCCTTCCAGTGGGCTTGTCTAATTCCTGCTAATCCTTCCCTCCAGGCGAAGATAAAGGCGTTGAATGATGTAGGATGTTGCCAAAGGAAACTGATGAGTCTCTACTAATTATCTGTGGGAGAGGGAAAAAACCCACCAATAATGCTCTGCCTTTGCAGTATGTACTGAGCCTCTGCACTCAGCCAATGAGCTGAGGTTCCCTGGAGAAGGCAGGGAAAAACCAAAGCAATCAATGACTCACAACCTTGAGTGTTTCCAACTTCCTGTGTCAGAGTATGTTCACTTGGTGTTTACACTTAAACGATGTTGGCCGGTAGACTGCATTGATGTCACCATTAAACCATGAATGGGCAACATTATTTTTGAAAATTTGTTATTGCTCCTAAAAGATTGATCGGTAATAATGGGATGTATTTGATTTAATTTTTTTTTTCATTTGTAAGGACTCACTTTAGGAGCATTGATCCATCCTGTGCAGCAGCACACTCTAGCTCCTATTTCTTCTACACTGTCTGTAGCTGCTACTCGCAGCAAGTTCAGTTCAAAGACCCTTTTTTTGTTTTTGCTCTCAGCTCCATGTTTGGACGTGTTCCCTCTCCTGCTAAGGCTGTGTCACGGTGTCTCCTTTAACTCCCCAGCTCTGAGAACATTAAGATAAAGGTGCTTCAGGCCCGAGGCAGTAACGACCAAATGACCCGGTGAACTGGACTTCCTGTTCCTTGAAAATGACTGTAACTATACACAAGCAGAACTCCCTCCTGTTGCGGTTGCCAAGAGCCCATCCAGCCAAAGAGGACAGGTTAGAATAGAAGCACTGACCACACTTGGCTTTTTTACTCTTTTTTCCACTTAACTTTCAGTTAGTGCCTGTCTCTGCAGCCACTCATGGTCTATCAAGCCTGGGCTGATGAGGGCCTCTCTGCTGCTCTCCAGTCAGACGGCAATGATTGTCCTCCAGGGGAGACAGAAAATTGCTTTTGATTTTTGGATGAGGTTGAGAGAGTCTGAGGGAGAGAGGGAGAGAATTGTCATGTACATGTGAATGAAATAGTTTGTAAAGATAATATTTTTGACATGATTACATAAAGACTAAAAAAACAAATCCCAGAATATTTATAATTTTCTATAATTTCCCTTTCAAAGATGTGCAGTCATAGCAATGATAAAATGAGACGACTGTTAATGCTGTCATTTTAAGAATACTTCCGTTTATGTTGTTTAAACTGTGTAGTAACAATGCACAACAACATGAGTGTGATGAATGTTCACAGGTGAGCGAACAATAACTGGGCTATTTACACTGTACAACTACAGCACTAATGTGTAAAAGCAGGAGTTTTTTGACTGTCAGTTTTTGTGGATCTGTTGCACAGTGAGATGAAGGATCCTGGAGAATTAAATGCTGCTGCTCTTTCAGAGAAAACACTGATGGAACAATCATTAAACCACGATCTAAGAA